CATCAATTTGCATATTATCTTGTCTATAAAAGAGAACTTGTAATTAATCTTTCAGACTTAATTGTGTTTCTTTTCTCGAATATGCAATGTTATTTCCAGCACACATTCTTGCATATTTATAATCATGGGGTTTTACATATAAAGTATCAATAGAAACTATTCTTTTATTGAAAGAGAGATTTTATAAGCACTGTTACTTTTTAGAGCTATTTTTAAATTATAATACATATCTTAAAAACAAAATCTTACATATCGTCATAAATGAGTTTGCTTACTTTGTGACAGATTTGTATCAAACTAAGTTTATTCCAGATTTTAGACCCGTTGTTGTATTATAATGTAGCAAGAATCCTAAAATTGTGATGTTGATGCCTTCTATTCGTTTACTAATGTATAAGTTAAACTTTTCATCTCGAGTAACAAGTGATTTTTAAAAAATGTTTGTAGTTTTTTGGAACCAATATTTCTAGTAATTTGGAAGATTATTTATTTATTGCAGTCACATTGATATATCAATCGAGATGTCATTGTCACACATTAAGAGTTTGATTTACCCAGTAGTCTTGCAGAAGTTGAGTTAATGTCATCAAAAAAGTACTTGTAAATTTAGAAATAATTAGAAAATTTTGAACTCCTGCTAAATTACAGTTTGAATAGTCTGCAAGTAAAAACTGCATAGGATTTATACATTTTCTTACAGATTTCAACTTGGTGAAAACAAAAAAATACCAAAAAAATTCCATTTCATCAATTTTTTTTGTTACACTCAAGTTTTTGTTTGTATTTAGCGTAAAATTCCTAGTTAACTTAAAATTTTTTTTATTTAAAAAATGGCCTTAAAATGAAGACTTCTCACATTAATTCTATCAATTATAGCTGGACTTGGCAATAAATAAATAAAAATGTTAATGGTTGAAGAGAGCAGTGGTAGGGGGAGGTGGGTTAAGTAATTTTAGCATTAGGAGGAAGGTTGCATGATTGTGTAGAAACAGGTTAAAAATTGATAGTGAGGTTGAGCTTGTTTCAACAAGATAAATAAGTTCAGTATCTCGCTGGCCATCTAAAGCCACACTCAGTTTATATCCAGCATTCAAACACTACTATGCTTGTATTTTTATTTCTGGAATATGGCTCGCAGAGGTTGTGTAATTTCTCCCGACAGCTTCTGTTATGTTTGTGGTGAATATACAGTGAAAAGTCAATATCCCCTTTATCTGATCCCTTCTTTTTGGAAACAATGGAAGAAAAGAAAAAAAAAGCATGGGACTCTCTTAAGAATGCAGTGCATAAGTTTTTGGGGAATACTAAGGACCCTGACTACAAAACCATTATACAATGCATGTTGGCAGAGTATGAAGCTTCAAGGATGCAAGATGAGCTTAAAAGTTCATTTCTTACACTCCTGTATTGACTATTTTCCCGAAAACTTGGGAGCCTACAGTGAAGAACAGGGTGAAAGATTTCACCAAGATGTCCGTGATATCGAGAGATGTTACCAAGGAAAATGGTATATCAATATGTTAGCTGACTACTGTTGGATGCTCATTCGAAAAACCAGATAAGGAAATTGGAAACGAGTTTGAAGAAGCATCAAAGAGAAGAAGAAAAGGTGTCATAAGAAAATATAATATATTTAGTTCATTGTAATAAATAAGTGTTTTTATCAAATATTTGTTTTTATTTTGCAAAAAAAACCTATACGTGATGGGATGTTACGGAAGTCATTTTTAGAATCTCCGATCTTTAAAACATATAATTCACCAAAAGTATCCTATGCAGCTGGAAAAAAATTTTTTTTGAAGACCTGTGTTATCTGTGTAGGCTTAATTATGTTTCTGATTCATATTAAAATCATTTCAGAATTCTTTATACAGTATTTGTCTTCTATGCTACTTTTGTCATTTCCTGTTTTTTAGGTTTTTTCAGTAGTTAAAACATGGATAGCTTGGGGTAGTATAGGGGTGTTGGCTTGCCACTTTGGGATCCAATTTTGAGCTTGCTCTGGAACTTTTGGAATTTTACGTGGGTGTTCTGTCTTGGGCAAACAATCCAGACTTGAAGCAATAAGAACATTACATTAAATTGTATTAATTATGCATATTAGCAAATTAACATAGTCAATTACTATAACTAGACATAATACTTTATTTATATAGGGTACTCTCTATACGAACCTCTCTAGTTTTTAAGCTATTCTGTAAAATCTTTGTTCCAGTTTGTGCCAGAGAATGTTGGTCAATATTCCAGGTTTTGTGTGCATATTACTTGACAGTGTCAGTCTAGCTTTTCAATGTCCCTCTATTTAGATCATTAGATTGTGCAGTAGCAAAGGTCTTGGTCGCTCTGCTGCATTTCTTGATTCTCCTTGTGGAGAGTCAAGAAATGGCATTCCCACTTTGAACTTTTGTTGTGGATATGTTGAGGATCATGTTTATGCTACAAAAGTGCCAGACATGCGAGCCTTGTGTACAAGAATTGTGTATGCTGTTAATGGTGCAATTCCTAATGTGCTTGCTTGTGGAAGTGGGCCAAAACAAAGTATAGACTGGATATCATATATACCATGTTAGGTGCACGTGTAGAAATGTACTGATCTAATGTAGTAAGTAACTTTTTCAGATGCACTTTCTATTACCATTGTTTACAGTACTATATTTGCATTTATTTTTCCAAAGTTAATTTATAAAACTAGAGAGATTCAAGGAGAACACCTCATATTAAATAGAATTTAACCAATCAGAGAGTACTATGGTGTTTTTCTCCTTTTGTCTAATTAGTAGCATGTCATTCTTGGTCTTTGCTTTGTTAAATTGTATATAGATCAAGTTCTTTTTTTTTTTTTTGTCATTGGTTATTATACTGTTATATCTTATCATAAAAAATTAATGATGATTTACACAATTAATAACTTTAATAAAATTAATAATTAATTGTTTGGGGTCTGGGAACCCCAAACAATTATTCTTTATTATACAACTATTATAACTTTCTGTTATTTCTAATAAGGAAAAAATTGATTCGGACTTCAGATGGTTTCCTGGGACAAATTAAATTCGAAGTATGAGACACCACTGTTATCGGGAAAATTTATTTAGTACAACATTAAATATTTGCATGTGTGTGTTGTTCAAATTTATTTGTATTTTGTAATTTTCTGGCTAACAAGATTTATCATGCTAGGCAGGGAAAGCTTTGTGTATTTATAGAGACAAAAGTACCAATGAACTTTATGTTTGTATAATAGAACTTCATTGAACGTGAAGATTTTTTAACCAAAGGATGTCAAAAATTATAAAAAGTAATTTATTTTGAAAGAATAGAACGTGCATGTGTATACATGCGACATGTTTGCAGATGATGTACTATACTACTTTGTATTTGGCATACTAAATTATTGTATTATTGGCAGACTATATGGGATCGATATCTTGACCGTTGCTTGTCGAGATGCCAATTTCTACATTGTCAAACACGAAAAAACACATGGTACCTTGTCTGGAAAACGTTTAGAGATTATAGGGAATATGCCATGCATATTATTTAAGAATATATTGCTTGCATGATTAGAAAATTTTTGAATGTGCTGCAGTGTTACTTTTTACAAGTTAGTATTGAAAATACAATATTGGACTACAATATAGTGTTGTAAGGTTCCATTCTGTTTCTTTTGTACTTATTTGGGATACTGATTGTGCCTGCATAAGAGATACTTCATTTTTTTGTTTGAAATTCAATATAATACTTACATAAGCAGTTTTCAGTTTATTAGTTAAGTACAAAAATCATTAGATTTGTTCCAGACATTTTGGATTATTACCAAAATTTTTTATGTTTGGCTTATTTGTTGTATACATGTATAGAATATGTTCCTATTAATGATTTTTAGTCATATGTCAGACAATGGATGATAGATCTTATTATCTAGTACATGTCAAGGAATGGTGACGATACATATAAATGATTTTATAGATTATAAAAATTTGTATTCTATAATATATTATTTTGAAACATCTTTTTTAAACAATTATGATGTTAAAATAGAATGCTGCAATTTTGGCAAATGCATTGACAGAGAAAAATATTTTTTCTCAGGGTTTCGACCATAAAAATTCAAAATATAAAAGCTGCATAAATATATTTATGGGACTTTTATATTTTGGATATATTAAACTGGCCATCGTTGGTAGTTCTGACCATATAAAAGAGGGATTAAAATTACAGTAAGGTTATTTGGAAAACTAAAATGTCTATTTTATTATGTATGTCTATAAAATATCCTTCTGTTGTCTTATAACTAATATAACTCCAAACACATAATTTAAAACATTTGATAAGATCTAGTGCATTAGTGAGACCATTGAAGCAATTGTCTTACATAGTTTATTGTGAAATTAAATGTTTGGAGTTTTTATTCATTAAAATTTGCAATAAGAATAAATGATTTTAAAGTTAATTCTGTATGTTTTTTGGAAAAATATAGTAGGTTTATATGATAGATCCTGTTACCTATAAACTTGCTTTACTTAAAATTGAAATATGTTGATCAAACACAAGCTGTTATAATTAATTGGTTTATTGTATTTTACTGGTTTTTAAGTTGTGGAACCACTTCTCAATTTTTCCATGGGGAGTAGTTTTTACATGGATTTCTCAAGAATATATCTGTCCTGTAAAAATAGAATTTGGCATATTAGAAAATTTATGTATTTGTTTTATTTAGAAGTAAAGGACACTATGTTGTATGGGATGCAATGGTTACGAAGTCTTGATTATTTGCATTTATTTATTACTAAATAAATTTTTTAAATAAATATCAAATTTTAAGAAGTGATATTTTATTTTATCTTTTTGTTATATCTAATCTAAATGAGATTAGATTTAACAGAAAGATGGGGTTAAAATTATAGTAATGTTATTTGGAAAATTAAAATGTCTATTTTATTGTATATATCTATAAAATATCCTTCTGTCATTTAATTAAAAAGATATTTTTTTCTTAGGTGCAATGCCAATGCCCAACGTGGCGGGATCCGGATACCATCCCTATCCGCCGACGTCTGGGGCGTCATCCTATCCTTATCCGTATCCAACTATGCCAAGTAAGTTCCAACGACTATTTTTGATCAATTTTAAATCAAAGAAGTGCATTTATATTGATAAATTGCGGAATATATCTTCTAAAAATGCTCTCCATATGGATTAGTGCTGGAGATGAAGAAAGTGCATCTTTTTTGTAGCTTCTAGTGTGATTGTAATATATAAAATGACTTAAGTTTAAATTTATTGTCTTAAAGCTTGAATTACGAAGTGTTTTCTGCCTTTTTTCCTTCATTAAAGATCATATACTCTCCAGAAATTGCTATGGTAGATATTCACTTCACACTAAACAACCTTTATAAACAGCAATGACATTTAATTACTAACATTTTTTTGTCATATTTAATGATCATCTTCAGATAACATACAATTACTATATTCAGATATGATTTTTTTAACTTATATGTTGAATATATAAGCTTACACAAGCTCCAAAATGGCATATGGCTTTGTGAGAGAACTTCAAAATGGGATGTGGTATCCTTAAAAAGCTTTTCAATCTTTAGACAAACCAATTATTAATTCTTTATTGACATGGTTTGAAATGAACATTATTAAATCGAAGTTTCTAAGTTATTCATAGAAACAAAGTCAATATAATAAAAGTCACTATATTTAACAATTTAATATATTCAATTTTAAACAAGATGGCAGTCTATTTTTAAACTATTAGAATAATTAAAGACATTTTTTAAAAATAGAATTCTGTTTTCTTCTGTTTATAAAGATACAATTACTGTTAGAATAATTTGAGAATAATTCTCTGTAGTTTGTGCTTGGTTCCGAAAACATTTGCATGATGGAAAAGAAAGCAAAACTTTGATAACAAATATATATTTATTTTATTTAAAAATCTATACTTTACTAATACAAACAAAAATGCTCTAAATAGCCAAAACTTGGGAAATTTTATTAATTCAAATACAAGAAAGACCATTAACCTGATGGCAAAATTATTGATTGGAGACGATACTCTAAATTTATTGACAGTTAGTTGAATATGGACTGTTGGTCTGGTTTTCAAAAGTTAACTTTTTGATGAAGGATTCCAATGACTATTATTTTTAAGATTTTCAACACTTTGGTTATTTAATTCCACTTCTGACAGTCCTCTATCATTTTATCTACTAGAAATAGAGATAATAGAAAAGAGAAGAGAAAGATTTCTATTATTTTATTGCCATAAGCATTTATACTTCAGAAATTTAGGTTTTGTGTAGCTGAAACGATAGAGGTATTCGGCTGCCATTTTGAGAGACTGCCGTTTTAAGTATGGGTCAGATCCTCATTAATTTTTTCCATCAGTTCCACCCAGATGTTGGAGTGCCGTTCCTTGCCACTTGGTTAGTTTGTTGTGGCTAGACTAAACATAGGAATGAAAAAATACATTCTTAGTTTTTTTATTGCCTGCTGTGCAGATAGTTAGCAAATTGACTATTTAATTAATTAAATAGTCAATTATAGTTTGATTATTGAGTTGACGAGTCTGTGAATATTAACAGGCATATTCATTTTATAGCTTTGAAAGGTTTATTTATGATCGGCAAGTTTGTTTAAAAAGTATACAGAAAAAAATTAGATGAAAATTTCCCATTTGATATCTTACAAATTGGCATTACAAGCTAAGAATTGTCCTGCGGGACCACTATTTGGATCTACTTCATTACTTCCATCCCATTTAAGCAGATGTCCTTGCCTTTATTCAGGCAATTGAACCAAAATGCAGCTCCAGTCTTGTTTTATGGCTAAGATTCTCTGCTCTCTTTCAACCTGACCCTCTTGTCCCTCCTCAAGAGTTGACTCCCATCCTTTAAGAAGACCACTATCAATGTATTCAGGATTGGGATGTGTAGATGTCATTTTACATACTGATGATCTATGGGCTTATTTCTTAGCTCCTCCAGAATCTTTCACCTGTCCGTATTTCAATTGATGTCTCACTGCCAGAATCTCACAAATATACTTTTTTTATGGTGTTTTTAATTTTAATAATTTAATAAATAATTGGATTATAGTTAAGGCCAGTTCATATTTTGTGAGAATGGAAAAGAGAAGAGAAAAACAACACAGTACCAGTGACATGCTTCAGTTTTTTTGGTTAGTGAAACAAATTGACAGAAGTTCTACTTTTATTTCTGCTGATAGATCATAGTTGTGTTCTTCAACATGTAGACTGCATGGAAACTTATCCGAGACATTGAAAATAAACTTTGGATCATCTTCATCAATGTCTTTTACAAGGTTATATCATTTTCCATTCTTTTCTAGGAGTAATTAACCATGTTTATTTTTGTTTATTAAAAATTTTATGATTTTAGTAAATTTTCAAAGCATGCTTTTGGTAATGACTATGAGGTGCTATATTTTAAACTGTGGGCCCAAAAATGCACATGCACTTCTCTTTTGTTCTTTTAAAGTATGAATACTTAAGGGAAAGAGTAATAGAAAAGTGAAGAGAATATGAGCCATTCATTATGAGCTCTTTTCCATTTTCAGAAAGTATGAACCAGCTGTTGTCAAACATTAAAAAAACCAAACAGCAAAATCAAAGTTACTTAAATTTTAAGATTGAATGAATGATTTGGTGTTTACTTTGTAAAATTTTTTGTACTTTAATTATTTCAATTATCGACGTTTATAATTACAGGCTATTCCAACACTTCTCAAGGTTACCCTTATCCATATCCATCTGCCTATCCTCCCCAGAACACAAACTCTTACCAGTCTGGCGGTTGCTATCCTCCGTCGTCTATTCCTTCGAGCACTCCCAGTAACACTGGAACCATTTCCGAAGAACACATTCATGCGTCTCTTCTTTCCGCAGTGGAAGACAAACTAAAGAAGAAGCTGAGAGACGTCCTGTCGCAGACTCATGTTAGTTTTAAATTTAATAATTTACATATTTCTTGCCAGTCATTTTTATTTACAGACGAGATTTTAATGGCATAATTATAAATGAACATTTTCAGGCAGAAATGGAAGTCCTGAAAAAGACTCAGGATGATTTGAACAAAGGAAAAGTGCATCTTACGGAACTTGTAAAAAAACTGCAAGCAGAACAAGTAAGACAAATTTTTTAACATATTCTTAGTGATTAAAATAAAATTAAAATGTAACCCATTCACATAGTTTGTAAAGTAAACAGCAACAATAACAAAATACACATAAAATTATACTAAAATTAAGATATAATAATAAAACATATCTAGTTATATTTTCCATATAGTCTCTGAATCTAGTTATATTTTCTTGAAAAATGAATGCTTTTGGTCTATTTTATGAAGATTTAAATCATTTGTCATAAGCCCAACAATAGTTTCCAATTCGGTAGAAACCAGAACATAGTATTTAAATATTTTGTATAGAAATCCTACCAAACTTTGATTTTATGGAACTGGACTAAATTTGTTTGTTTCGAAACATCTGTCAGAATTAAAATTTGGTCCTTTGATTTTTACATTTTCTCTTCTATCAATATAGCTACCAATTTGGCTATTAATGAGGATTTATCACAGCACAAACAAAAAAGGTGACCAGATTTGAAATTCTTTATTCTTTTAATTAACTCCAAAATGTACATTTTGAGTCTATTCGTCCTCCTTTAGTTGGAGCAGACAATTTTCATAAACTATTTTGAAAATATTTTAATTATTTTTATGAATTTTTAATAGTTTATGAAGATTGTCTGTTCCAACCAAAGAGGGATCAAAATACTTGAGAAGTACATTTAGGAATTAATGAAAAGAATAAAGAAATTCTAATCTGATTACCTGTTTTATTATGGTGTGATAAGTCCCGATTAATATCCAAATTGGTAGCTATATTGATAGAAATGAAAATATAGTTTTTGAGAATATAACAGTCTATGGTGTAGTTAACTGACTTTTAAATTTGTATTTATTTAGCTGATATAAAATTTACAGGATATAAACTGCATTTTATATATATTAAAATTGATGACAGTAAAAAAAACTAAGCTGGTAGTGAGTGAATTAATTGTTAGAAACAACTAACAATTATTTAGAGGTGTTGCTATGACATAACTTCTTAATAATAGTCCAGTTTCCCCTAAAATGCAGCAAGAAATATTCTTAATATATTTTAATAAAAAGCTTATTCGCATACAAGTAAAAGGATATTTAATTAGTATTTTCCATCTCCCTAACCTGCGGGTTAGCGTCCAGCACTGAGAGTAATTGCTTCCGGTCATTCGATCCCTCAGAGATTTCTCCCACAGATGCTGGCAATTCATCTCTCAGTCTTTCTCCCTCCAATCTTCATTTATTTTTCTAGTAGCAGGATGTATCATTTAAGTAAATAATATATAAAACATTATATCAAGATAAAGGTTCTAATCTTTAGAGTCACCATCTCTCGTGAAACATTATTAATGAGTTAAGTATAAAAGGAATAAGTTGAATACTATAAACAGCTTGTTCTTCACTAAATTATTACCTGTTAATGCCAAACAGAATTAGAAATTGTATAGAAGAAATAATAAATACTTACTTTGAGAAATTACATAGCTTAATAATCAGTGGTAATACACAATTCCAATCAAATGATTAAAGCCAATATATTTAGCAAGTTAGCAGGATAAATATTAAAACGAATTAAAATCTCACAAAGGAAGAATGTACAGTGTTTTGTTACAAGATTTTTGATGGTAGGAGTAAAATACTATGAAAAAAGTTAACAGTTAATTTGACAGAGAGGACAAACAAATTTAAGATTTTCAATAATTTTTGATTAGAGATTAAGACACTGAAACAAATTATTTTGTTAGATAAAGCTCGAACTTACTAAGAACAGAAGAAGAAAAAATACAAATCCATTATCTTAATAATTTATCTTTTTCAGACTTCAAATAAATCATTTAACATACAAATTGAATTATCGCAGATAGTAATTCTGCAATTATTCAACGTTAATGGATAACGATGCAAAAGAACTTATATTAACTCGGCATTACAAAGTATTAAATAAAGGCATGAGACACCTACTTTGTACAGTACAGGGTACAATGTCATTCAAAAACTGAAAACCGGGTCTAATAAATTTTCAGATCTCCAGCAAATCGGGCTTTCGGATTAAGACGCCATTTTAATTCGTACGACGTAACCGAATTGTGTCAAATGAATTAAATTGTTGGTTAAGCAGAACTAACTTTCTGTTTGGTTTCTTCAAACGAAACGCGGATTTTAGTGGCCACCGTACGGGTGGAAAAGAGTATTTTTTTGTTTTTCGGTTCCCCTGGCAAGTGTGTAAAACCTAACACGTTCAGTAAATTGAACGTGCCAGTGTACGTTTCGTTCGAAGAAACCAAACGTTTAATTTTAGAAGTGATTTAATTTATCGAAAAGTCATCAGCCTGGTTGTTTGAATTTCAAAGATGGAACTGGAACGAAACATCTGCATCCTGCGAGAGAAAAATCAGGAAATGAAAGAAGTGAACGCCAAAATGGAAAACGAACAGGCCATAGACATAGATGAAGCGGTGGTGACGACGGCACCTCTATACAGACAGTGAGTAAAGTCTTACGTAACAATTCCTAGAAAGATAATACTGTATTATAAAGGGTGCCTCTTTTCAGGTTACTAAATGCCTTCAGCGAGGAAAATGCCACAGAAGATGCCATCTACTATTTGGGAGAGGCGTTGAGAAAAGGGGTTATAGACCTGGACGTCTTTTTAAAAGTAAGGCGCGAGCTCCTAGTCCATTTTATAGCGTGGTTCCATTGTTAAACTAAAAACCGTCATTTTGTTTGTGCAGCACGTCAGAGACCTGTCGAGAAAGCAGTTCATGCTCAGAGCCTTGATGCAGGTGTGTCGACAGAAAGCTGGACTCCCCCATTAGAGAAGAGTGTGACCAGTGGAGGGCGAGCGATTCTTCCACCGTCTCGTGTATCATCTCGGATTCCGAGAAGGGGGTTCGGATCCGGCCACGAGAAGTTCCGAAGTCGGAGGGGAACTGTTATAAGCTTTAAAAGAATGCACCAAATATAAACAGATTGTACGTAAACTGTTATTTGTCGGTTTAGACCAATACTCCGTCACTCGAAATTTATTAAATGTTTTGAGAAATTAAATGTCTTGCTTTATTTATCGATACCACTAAGGAATTTTTCAATCCTCTAATTGCGAGAAACTAAATGTTGGTAACACCGTTCGATTGACACTGTCGAAGAATTATGTAAAACTTGCCAGGGCCCTTAGTCTCGAGTTATTCGTGTTGTACTCGAATTGACGTCATCGAACTCACTCGTGTTACTATGACTCACATAATCATGGTCTCGAGTTAGACCCATCAAGCGAACTCGAAAGGCGAGCGGAAGGAGGTCATGTTCACTTGTTTACGTGTGTCGATAAGCATGATGGGATTATTTACAGTGCATCTGGGTTTACGACTATAATGATTCGATTAATCAACTTTACTGTAACAAGTTGTAAACAAATCAACGTGAATTAGTTTACACGTGTTATAGTTAAAAGTTTTGTCTTATAGCAATGTAGTAAACAAACAAAATGGAAACCTCCAATGTTTTATTTTAAAAAAAGAAGCGAAGAACAAAAAGAAATATTAGTAACATATATAGAAAATAATAAGAAAATGAACAGTGGAAAATTCGACAACGAATTTACAAGAAAAATTCAATTCGATTTGTAGTGTGGAGAGAATTACTTCAAAAATTAATTGCGTGTGTTGGAGCTAAAAAATCCGTTGTTTAATGGAAAAAGTATTTTAATTTAATCCTTTTTTCATACAGTTTTCTTCCTTGATCTATTTCTTAAATTGTTTTGTTTATTAAGATTATTTATTAATCAGAACTTAACACTTCTGATTAATAAATAATCTTAATATAGTGTCTATGCTCTTAATAATTTATACATATAATTTACTATCATTTTAATTCTCTTTTTCTATGAATTAGATACTACTATTTATTTTTGGAAAAAATTTAATGTACTGTATAATTTTATTAATTACGAATTAAAATTTTTTTTATTAGTGTTGACTTGACACGAAAAGAAATGGCATCTAACTCGTGGTCGAAAAATTCGTTGCCTTTTTCAACTCTTTCGGCTCCTTCTAACGCTTCGATTGCGATCAGAATAAGCGTATCTGTCAGCCATTTTCATTTTAGTGTAGCGATCTAACATGCTCGACTCAACATGAGTAGCAACTCGCATGGTGAGATGGGAAAGCACGTGAGTTACAACTCGAGACTACCGATTTGACGTCAGTTTGTGAGATGGTACCACGTGACACCTTCAACTCGTTGGGAGTTGTAACACGAAAAATTCGAGACTAAGTGCCCAGGAGGGTGCGGAATTATCAAAGAATTAATTGTATTCTCTTGACAAGTCTAAATTTGACAATGCTATCAATTGACCAAATTGCAGAAGACAATATCTAACACCAAGCGATATGGGTAATGCAATATACTGAAATGAAACCGTGTTGAAAGATCGCCCTTAGAAATGGTTGGAGATTGACTGTTCTTAATCTTAATCTCTGTTAACAGATTTTTGAGTTACTCAGTTTTTACCCTTTATTTTTAATTTATAAATGGTAAAGGTAAAAAGAGAACATCACTGTTACCTTGTTAAATCGAGAAGAAAGTCTGTCGCCATTTTAGGTACGGTACGCCATTGTTCGGTTATAACAATGCCTGGAAGATGGTAAGAAGTAAACCAGAATTGGACCTCTTGATGGTGTCGGGACGTGGATCATTTAACACACGTAATTCAATTAAAATTAAATAAATCAAATTTCTCGGTAGATATATTACAGTCGCAAATAATAAAATGCCAAAAGTATCGGTGCCGCCATTTTGAATGCGATCTTGCCGATTTAAAACAAATTTTCGAAGTAGTAAAAAAGTTTGACGCGGGATCTTTGCCCGATTTTCATCATCAAAAATTGTTTCCAATCTCTTAAGATAATTGAAAATATTAAATTTGTATTGAATGGTTTGGCATATCGATCTAGTGTTTACGAACGGACGAACTAAATTTTGTTGATTTGCGTGGCCATTTTTTTTTAACGCAGTGTTTATTTATGGTGTCCATTGTTATTGGTCGTTATAAACCAGACTTGTGGCCGTGTGACGACATTCTTAATGATTTTTCAACTTGTTTAATGATTAAAATTCAAATCGTGAAAAGAATGGTAATAAACACGGAATTCGTTATGCAATCGAATGTCCATTAATTAACTAAAGGCCACTTCAACAACGGCCATTTTGGGGGGAGAGTACACACAATAAACTCCAAATAACGGCCATTTTTAACGTCTTCGGTGGCCATTGTTTGGAGAATTGACCGTATGTAAATATGTTAATAGTTGTTCACTATAACGCGTTACTTTTTCATCTAGAATAGCTTTTTTTTTTTTTTTTTTTTTTTACTTTTCTAGACCGCGGTACCGTACCGTTCAAGAATCTGACGAAAGATAAAAGAATTCATTACGAAGTTTCGTTCGTTCGTCTTGCTGTCCGTATAATCGATCGATATCTCGAAAGCCGTACAAATTTGAATTTTCAGAATGGTCTTAACAGGTTAGAAATATTTAACGTGTGACCGAAGTTGAACAGAAATGCACCAGACTAAGGATCCGCTGGTGAAAAATGCCAATAAATCTAGAAATAACCGTAAATCCTAGATTAAGAAATTTTAATCCGGAAGTAGTTTTATAGAGTTTACCTGCACTCGACTCGAACTTAACATGAAAATTAGTGAGGATCGGGAGCAAAGTTAGAAGAAATTTTTGATTGATCCTCATGTTGACGTCAATGTATTGTGGTATTTTAAGTGATAGCACTGTTTGCTATCGGACATGGATACCACACGTTGAATTACTATCACATTTTAAATCGCACAATACACAATTCGGAGAGCCCGCTATTGAATGAAATAAAATAAAGACGATCGGTTGTCAGACCAAAATTTTCGGAAATTATTACTTTTTTGCGTAATTAAAAATAGATTAATGATTGATGTTCGGGTAATATTATGGATTTCCATTGTCTACAACACACTTTTCTATTTGGCACGTGATAAATCGTAGACATTTGAGCCACGACCGTTTAAAATAGGAAAATAAGCTAGCCCAGACTCAAAAAATTGCAACAAAATAATAAACACAGAGTACAGTACGGTATTTTCTATTCTCTCAAAAGTGAAAGGCTCTATATCCTTGTCTATTCTATCCAGTAAAGAGTGTTGTACCCAGGGGCGAATCCTGACCAAAATTTTTGGGCATGCTGAAAGTTATAAAAGAATAATAGGCCTATCCCTAGCACTAAACAATAGGCAGAAACGTTATTTGGTGTGAATAAAAATGTATGGACTATTATAAAGCCCATTATATCTACACATGAAATATATTATAATGAAAAAGTATTAAAAATTTATGATGATAATTCAAATTTTGTGGGCCCTCGATACTGCGGGCCCAGGACTCAAGCCCTATTAATTTCTATGTAGATCCGCCCCTGTATACAATACATATATGCTGACTGGGCACCGCAAGCTTTCGACACAATCTGGCCGTGAATTGTCCATAATATATAAATATATCGAGGATAGAATCGTAACCTTCATCAAGACGATGGCGTGAACATGATCTGGTTGGATAGGATGTGGCAACGCAAGACACTGGCGATTTGTGGAGGAGGATTTTCTACCCGAAACTGGCCCCAGGTTTTAGTCACGTGAAGAAAACTCCGCGCGGCTAGCTCGTTGGTCGGGCGCGAACCCGCGACTACCAGTATTCGGAGGTTTATCGACTCGATGAGCGACAAAAACGGGACTGGGGTTCTTACCACGGATTTTTACACTGGAAAACAGTATAGTAAAACCTCTCGACTCGAACACTAGAATTTGGACTTTGTGTGCAATTTAGAGAGGTTTTACTAAGTGATTTCATTTGTTTTTGTTTAGTTTTCGGACATTTTGGTCTGTTTCCATATTTTAATTAGGTGACTCCAAAATACGCGTAACCAAAACAAATAAAACAATAAAATATATGGAATGGAAAGGAAGAAACGGCGCCATTCCGTAAATGTGGCTCTTCCCTATGCTTATCTGCTTTAGGGAAAAGTCGGACATCCGGTTGCTCTCGAGCTACAGTTTGACGACGCCATTGTTTCCGTAGCCTTATGTAAAATCCACTAAATTATTAAAAGAGAATCAAAGATTAATCATTGAAATTCGATATTCAGCAAAGACACAAATAAATAAATAAATAAGCCGTCCTGTCATTTGTCCTCGTTTGTTTTCTCGGGGAGGAGTTTTCGACTAAATGTCAAAGTTAATCGGATTCTTTTTTATCTCTAGCGGTTGCTTTCTAAGTAAATATTTGCCAGAAAGAACCAAAATTCGGATAAACAGCTTCACTGTTTATAAGACTCGATTTTTAAATATTTTTTGTTGTTATTTTCCGAACGACACCACTGGAAACGATTACCCCGTCGACTCGACAAATTAATCGCTTGGGATTTCATCGAAAAGGGCGAGATTCGTCTATAAAATCCCGTTTCCGACGATATTTCGACGGCGTACAGCGACGTAAACGGCGAGGGGCGAAATTAAAAATAACACGGGGATGTTAATCGAACCCCGAAAATTCTCCAATAGGTGATTGATAAAGAGTTTCGATTTTTCCTTTCCCTCCTTCGTCGTTACCCGGGCGACGCTCACGTGACTCTCCAGTCGGATGTCAACAACGGTATCCGTTTTGCAGACGATTATCGATCGGTCGCCATCTTAGTCTCGAAAGTAGCGAGCTCTGTCTCCGGTCGAGAGGACGAGCGGCCAAACAAAAATAAGGTAAGAATTGGAAAATATTTTACCACCGAGGCTTAATTAACGCGCCGATTGTTGATAAAATCACAAAAATAAAAGCCGGGGGCGTTGTTTTTTTTTTCGATCCGTTCGTTCTCGCTCCCTCAACCCGTTCGGTTCTAAAATAAGAGAAACGGTCTCTCCGGAAGTGTATTTCCGAACACGAACGTCACTTCCGCCTTGTGGGGGCCGGATGTCGTTAAAATTCGCGATTTACGTCTCTTGGTTACATTGTTAAGATCGTTGTTACGTATTCGCTGTGTGCGCGCCCATTTTTTTGCATTGTTGGAGCCATTCACTTTCGTTTAGTGTTACGTGCGTAGGAACTCGGTACGTGGTGCAGTGGTAGCCTCGTTCTTGATCGATCGATATCTGTTTGGCACTTTACCGCAATACGCTCCACTCTCATTCACCCGTTATGGCTCCCTCCCGTTCGAATCGTTCTCGATTTTTCTCCCGTTCCGGAGCCATTCTACGCTTGTTTTGAATGGTGAGCGGCACGCGCCACTCCGACGACCCCGTCTCTCACTTATTCTAGATCCTAAACGCGTTATGTTCTCACTCCCTCGCTGTTGAAGTAGGATTAACTCCCTTCAAATCCGGGTAAGTAGAGCTTTTGTTGATTCTCGGCTTATCCTCTAGCATCCACTTACAGAATTTAAAACGTTAAGCATTTAAGTCAACTGGCGTAAAACCGAGGTGATTTAATTCGTATTAACTTCGGTTTTGTGTCTTAAAATCCCTTCGAGTTTTCTACTCTCGAGTTCTTCGACCGGCGAATAAATCATTTACGCGTTACGCTTACCTACGGACGATATCCGATACGTTTCCAAGGTGAAGAGCTTCCCGGATATAACGTATAAAAAACCGGATAGAGCACTATCCGATAAGTGGGACTCTATTATTTGATCGTATTCAATTATGGCTCCGTTGCTCTGAAATCCCTGCCCTTTGTAGGCCATAAATTAGCCGATTTTTATGCTAATTTGGAGCGTATCGATTCGTCTTTTGTCAGAAAGCATAGCTGGTAAAGCGGAATATAAATGCCAGGATATATGGATCCATCTGGATGGCAGAGTTTTGGGGTGCAAGAGTGGCAATTGTAGCAAAATGGCCATCCTTCCGATAATCGCGACAATCTCTACAATAAAATATGTTTTTCTTTTTTCCATGTCGAAGGAGCATAGACGTATGGGAAAATGCCGGAAAGATGACGAAGTTGTTACGTCATCCGGATGATGGGGTCTCGTTATCGCAGAGAGGTCTTCTGTGTAATGAGAAAGCGTATTTTGTGTATTCGAAGCTGGTAGACCACTTGGGGTCGGCGGGTTTGGTATTTGTGGATTCGTCCTTATTTCGCGGCGGAAGGGAGGAGGATCGATAAAAGTTGTTTACGCTCGAGATCCTTCCTCGGACGTTACGGTGCCGTCTTAATAATTTTATGTCAGATTTTTAGCGCGATTGCGTGGGGAAATCGAATCCAACACCCGTCGCAGTTCGGCTACAACAACAACTACTACTACGGGGATTTTTCCCTCCCGCCGAAAGGAGATGACCGGAAATTTCCATGTAAAGAAAGATTTCTTCGGCCGTCAGATGCCGTTTGGGGGGGGATAAAATTCTGGAAGGCGTCCAAGAGGCAGACAGTGACCTCTAGTGGTTATTTTTCAACTGTTTTTGAGGGAATCGATTTTTCGACCTTCGATTCCTCGGATCCACCCAAAACCTTCTCGTGACGATTTTCGAGTAATTAAGACGGCCACTCCATAACTCTGGCGTTAAATCGGGGAGGAATGACGCCCGCCATTACTTTTTATGTAGAATTTCATTTTCCTCCCTTCGTGAATCGATCCGAAATCGAAAATTCTCCATTATCGTGGACTCGGGAGCGAACGAATCGATAAATCTTTCAGGATTTACTTCTGTAATATTTGGTAACCCGATAAGAGAAGAAAGTGGAGCACTCTTTAAGAATACGACAGGGGAATAGCCAGGGTCAGTAAATGCTGCATCAAAAGAAACGCTTTTACTACTACAGATTTATGCAGCTCGGTTTCATTAATAAATTTACCTCGTTGTAGTGAATTCTTCGCTATAGTGTTTTCTTCGTTATTTTAAAACCATTAGTATCTTTACGGAATTCTAAAGCCACCAAATCTGTTCCTCTTTACTTGTCCGTGACGTGTTTTAAACTCAGAATGGCAGCCATTTTTCTTTTTTTCTTGACTGAAAATCGTTCATTTACCAATTGCCTTCAGCCTTACAGCAGAATATTTCGTAGGAAAATGAAAGATTATAAAAATTCTTTTTCCAGTGGTTGATTTTATCGACTTTTGCCTCGAGTTAATTTCGATCTTCAGGAACTCCACCATTTGTTCTTTATGAATAAGAAGGTTACTCGCGAATTACTGTCTTTACCTTTTCTGTTTTCAGCGTATCGAAACGATTAGAAAATAATTTATATTATTCGCTACAGATTTTAGGCATGACAGCATAGGGTTTGCTAAGGCCTGGCTTTTTTTTTTGGAGGCCTGGCACGCGCACTAATATATTCAGAATGCGGCATTGTATATCAAATAGCACGAGATGAGCGGTATACATTATATAAACTTAAAAAAAAAGGCCCGGAATACTCGAGAGGCCCTAGCCGAGCTTACAACATAAAAATACCCTTGCCGAAGCGTATATCACAATGCGTTAATGAAAATAGAAAAAAAAATGGCTTCGATTTTTGCCCACTCCCTTTCGTAATAAAGCTAACGATCGACCAAAGACGTGACAAAACACTTCTATTTTTGATTATGTCGAAAAAGGTAAAGGTGAATATTGTAAAGGTGACTCGGGATATTGTAGAAGGGAAGAAAAATTCCCCGAGCTTTCGGGGATTTTTTTTCCCTCTGTTTTTTGAAATTACTTGTCGATCGATTTAGACTTTAGACCAAATTATAATAGAAAGCGATAACGGTCGTAAATGACAGAATAGTAAATGTTAATGCGTGACCTTTCCAACACGAGGGAACGAACACATTCCTTAATGGAATCTCGTTACATTTATGCACGAAATTGCTTTACATACAAGAATATTCCAGTTGAAATTTGTTTTTCAAGTCAATATATTTTATGCTTTTCTTCTGTACTTCATCATCGATTTTTCGTTGATGTCTTTTTCAGTTTTTAATTCCGCCGATCAGGCTAAAACTTCGAACCTTTCAGTAACATATTGCATATGCATACAATGTGTTCCAATGGCATACAGGCACCAGTAGTAAGGCGTAAGAGCCATTACTAGAATGGCTTACCTGCTCGAGGAATGCCTATCGATCCGGCCATTGTGTGCTAATTCCACAAAAGTATGGAAATTGAGCGAATATTCGTCGTCACGCGTAACTGCAATAAAAGTAAGTTGTTACGTCGGGTTTTCCGCTTCATTTAACTTTAAGGGAGAGCACAGGTTCCAAGATTTATATAACTTGTTAAATCGATAATGCTGCTAAGAAAGACCTTGACGAGTAACGCATAACATATTTCGAAATTCTTTTGGCCCCGTCAGCTATGGAAGAATATGTAATTGACATTCGGATCAATAACAATTAGAATGATGCAGATTTTCGATCGATTGATACGGTTTTAATTTGATTTTCTTTGTTGTTCCGTTGCCTTTTCTCTCGAGTAATTGCGTAATTCGACCTTTCGAGAATTATCGAAAATTTACCGAAGAATGTTTAATTAATGCCATCGCTTGTTTTCTTGTTTCCGACAAACAAAACATTTCAAAAAATGAAACTATCGATTTTTTATTGGAGTCAGAAGTTATGGCTGCCAAAAGTCGATTAGTTCGGTCAATAAGACTGAGTTTTAACTTTAGAAACACTTATTGTCTTGAACATTACTTCGGTATATGATGGCCCGAATATCGTTAACTGATTTTTGGACCATCAGAAGACAGTTTTGCAAGTTCTTTGATATAAAACTTGCCGTTCAAACATTCAATATCGTAACAGATCTATTCCTACCATAAAATTAGCCGACATTTCTGTTACCATTTACGTATTTCGATTAAGAAGAAACAATATTGAAGTTTATCGGAAAGATTTATATCTGTCAGAGTTTATTCCACAAAGTGGGATTCGAACCCGCTACCCGACGGGCGAAAGCAATGCGGACATTTTGAATAAAAACACCGTTTTCAAACTATATATTGAATTATTGTTAATGTTTTTTTCTGTTATAGGAACAGTGTGCTGTTCCAAAAAATGGCGCCGTCTTTTCACCTTGAAGACCTGCTAAGTCGATTAAGAAGAGATGGTAAAATCTACAATGCCGTATCGAACGATGTCTCGCAAAAAGGAGCGGGACCGGAGGGTTCCCCAGAAGTCCCTTCTCCTGTTACTACTATACCAGAAACGACTGTCCCGCTCAATGAGACGGTCGCCGAAGTCACCGAAAATCCTCTAAAGGATTTAGCTGCTGAATACATGAATAAATTTTCTGAGATGACGCACAGTAAGTACGAATTTACACCTTCGCAATTAAAGTATTCTTCGTTTGCCGATTGCCTTGTCACGTGTTTAAGATAGTCTTACTTGGAGAGTACTTTCAGAACGATACTGTTTGCTTAAGGGTGTTATTCTCAAAGTATTCCCTGTGCTTTAAATGCGTGATAACACGATAGAATACGCACATTCCTCTATCTTAAATGGCCACTTTCCGTGTGATCGGTCCGAAATGGTTTCTTAATATACGAAGAGCTGAAAGAATATCGACTTTTCAAGCTACCGAGTTCCAAAACTTCACGAAAAAGTTCAAGTACTTCACATAATAGCTTCTGTACTTAATAGAAGTTCATTTCTGGAACTTCGCTTCCATCAGAAATGATACTTTAATTCCTTTCTTAAATGCAGTGAATGCCACATGAATTTCCTACGATATTCGTGTGATGTTCGCTACATTACAGAATGCGGTTTAAGAAAGGAATTAAAGAATCATTATGAAGGAAGTTGAGCTCCAGAAATAAACTATTATGAAGTTTTGGAATTCAATATCTTTAGAACAAATAACTACTGGGCCTAACGATTGAAAAGTTCATCAGCTCAATACCTAATTAACGTGTTCAATTTGTTTCTTTGATGAAATATTTTAAATTGGCAGGTTTGGATGGGGTTTTTCTCTGTATTACTTTATAAATCTTTACGTAATACGAATTGCTGAAGGCAGAAACGTGCTGTGGTATTCCAGTTGTTCCGCACGAGCATCATTCTAGACTGGCAGATTGGATGTGACGTTCACATCATTAACTATATTGAAACTTCTTGAGATAAATGTATTTTGTTTACATCAATAAGTAAAAATGATTTCGCTAGAAAACAAATTAATGTTTTAGTAAACAACCTATAAAGTTCAAGGTCGTTTGAAGGGCACGCCATTGCCGTACAAAGAATCTAGTTTAATGAGTTATATCTCGGACACTATCAATGTCGGAAATAAAAATTTTATACTCATATTCGACAAGAGATATTCTATCCAATTATTATGCTAAAAAGTTGTCGAATATGAAATTTTCCTGATTAAATTCCAGATTAAAATTATAATTTTAATGGAGTATTTTTAAAGTAAATTCAGACTGTTAATTTCTCACGCGGTAATAATAAATATTCACATTGATGCGGTCTTTATATTCTTGCAATTTCATAAATGTCTTTCTAATGCTTACTAATTTCTAAAAATAGAAGGAAAAAAATCGATGAATAATTCAGAATATTGGATTTTTATTCTCTTTTCTAGTTTTGATTGAATGAAGGGATGAACACGAATTTGCAGGATACATTTTCATCTCTATCTTTTCATTGTAGGTACTTACATTTGTATGCCTACTGCTGATGCTTTTATATGAATCTAATATCGATATTTATGAATTTTAATGAGTGGAATGAATGCCCGAAATAAAACAATAAAGTTATTTTAATTAGTATTGACAGGAATTAATTTTTCGTCCCTGTTGTGAGCCCATAGAAAATGAATTGAAAGTGTTTTCTCGTAATATTAGCAGCGTAATACTTCCAATAATCTTGTCAGCAGGCTACTTCCGTGTAAGGATATTGGAAAATAAATAGAATCACTTCTTTGGAGGTGATAAAATCTAATATATTTTAGAGGATCAGTGTAGAAATCCTAAGAAAAATGAAGCTTAAAATGATGACTCCGTATTGGAGGATATTTGTAGACTAAATCTAAAGCTTTTCTCTGTGTTTATGGTTCACTTTAGATATTATAGTCTTTTACTTAATAAATTAGATATCCTTTTTAGTATCTGGAAGTGTATCTCTACTACAAGAAAAGGATTTAGTTCTTATTTGGAGCAGGGACTATACTTTTGTCTTTGAGGTGGATCTTTGGTGTCATATAAATGATGGTGCACAATAAAAACATATAAAGATAGCTGCCTTCTAACTGTAGGTCGTTATAATAGTGCACTGACTGTGTTCTTGTTTTTTGTTGGGCATCAACGTTTCGAAGGCACCAAGAAGTATCTGGAAGAAAGAAGGACAGACTCTACCCCAACAGAATTTCATTTTGTATCCTATAACAATACACTTCTACGCTATTACCCGGGCAACTTAATTCTAATCATAGCACTTATGTGTCGAGTATATCCACACCTCTCTTAAATTAGAATACTACAAATTTAATTAAAAAGGCCTTAAGAGAAGCCGATTAGAAACGAAACTTTGTCTAATTAAATAAGCTGTACTTAAAACTTTTATAGATTTATGAAATATGAGGTTAATATAAATTTTACATTAAAATCGTCCATTATTATTTCTTAAACTGTGTTAATTATGCATAGAATGACCAGACGAGATAGAGGAATTTGTTACATGGCACAAATAAGTAGTGGTTTAAAGAGCATAAATTGGAAATTGACGTAGCCATATTGTAATCTTGTGTATACTTTACAGTACCCGTTTGGGGTATCATCGCTATCGCTATCGGTATTGCCCTTCTGTTTCTATGCATTTGCTGCTGCTGCTTAAAACGTTGGTGCAAGAAGAGGTTTAAGAAAGACGGCAAAAAAGGATTTAAAGGTGCAGTCGATTTTAAAGGGGTTGGTTTGTTAGGTGGTTCCTTTAAAGAAAAAGTGAGTAATTGTCCGTTTCCAATGGTTTAGATACGATTTCATTAAAGTAAACGTAACTTTGCTGTTGTTGAAAAATTCAAGGTTCAACCGGATATGGAAGAATTAGAAGAAAATATGGAGGGTGAAGAAGAAGAAAGTCACAAGTCAGAAGAGAAATTAGGACGGTTACAATATAAACTAGATTACGACTTCAATAGCAACAACGTAATTAATGAGCCGGATGCATTTGTTACTTGGCTTTAAATGTTTCGAACGTTTGAAGTTTAAATTCGCATTCATCCATTACAGTTGGCTGTCACAGTAATCCAGGCGGAAGAATTACCCGGATTAGACATGTCGGGAACTTCTGATCCCTACGTAAAAGTCTACCTGCTTCCAGACAAGAAAAAGAAATACGAAACGAAAGTGCATCGAAAGACGCTTAATCCCGTATTCAACGAAACCTTCAATTTCAAGGTAAACCAAAGATAACCTCATTCAATTCGTTACATCGAGAATAAATATTGCTTTTCCCTTTTTGCAGGTGCCATTTTCAGAGATTACATCCAAGGACTTAGTTTTCGCCATTTTCGATTTCGACCGATTTTCTAAACATGATCAGATTGGAGAAGTCAAAATACCTCTTGGCACTGTTGATCTGGCTCAAACTATCGAAGAGTGGAGAGATCTCACTAGTGTTGAGGGCGAGCAAGGACAGGTTCGTGCGCATCGTTTCCTCACGCCCATTGATTTTTTTCCTTAATTTCAGGTGCCAGGACGAACACTGACCTTTACCTGTAATGGCGTCGCTCTTCCTTATTCTTTATATCGATTAAATGGCATACTTTCCGTTTCTTTACTTTCTCCATAATACGGTGCCCTTAACACCATTACCAAAAAAGTATTGTTTCCCTCCCTACGATTGATTTCTCAAGATAAAGTCTGCGTGTCTGGTTGTCTGTTCGTCACTTTTTGTGTATATGTAACCGTGCCTGTGTATGTTTGACAGACGTAGAACTTACACCCATTTTCTTTCTCGAACGATTAAAGAGTGAAAGTTGTCGCGTTGTACGCGTCTGAGACGCGCGTACAACGCGACGCGACGGCAGTAGGTATTGTGGAGAAAGTCGCGATGCGGCCGTAATTCGGTATAACGTTATTTATTTATTTATTTTCCCTAATGTATGTCGAAAGTAAATGTTTCTATCCAGTTTACAATATCCCGAGGAGAAAAATCATATTTAATTTGCTTTTTTTATGTTGAATGTAGTGTTATTCTACCGTTACCAATGAGTAGAATAGTTAACGAAAATTCAACCCCCCCGGTCGTAAATTATGACAGGTAGAGTTGTTTCTCCAAAATCTCATATTAACTATAATTATCTACCATTTATACATAAAGGGTATGGGGACCGCGAGATTTGTCATAGTTGCTACGTCACACTAGATATTGTATAAATGGTAGACGAAATTTATGACGATTTTAGTTATAATTATAGAGTTTAAGTGTTTATATAGTTATATAAATTAATTATTGTAGAGAATTTGATCTTTAATATTAAATGTAATTAATCTTTAATTATAATTAATGTTAAATGATTTTACCAGAGATTAAAGTAATTAATGTAAAAGAAATATTTTAAAGTAATTTAATTCATAAAGTGGTTGAATATCTGAAGATATATTTATATATCAGTGTGTTAAATAGATGTGTTTTTGAACAGACTAGTCATTGTAAAAGAAGTATTTAGAAACGACGTGTTTGATTTAGTGTAGAAACAATTGTTGGTTCACATAAACTGAGTGTTAGGTGTGTGGATGCATGAACTCAAAGTAGCAGTCGATCACTAGAATTGGTATTAGTTGTCACTGTAGTGTTTGCTGCGTGTCTATACATAGCACAGTTGACTGGACTACACAGCAAATTTGCCATTCATAGAAACGAAACCCCGTTTCGGAAAGCTCACCGATGTTTTAGTGTAGTATTTGTTGTGGTATACTGCACATTATATAATGAGTCTAATTCACTTCTATCAATAAACTCTCTCAAGTACTTAGCCTGGCCTTTATCAGACACGAACCCCCTTTTAGCATGTTTGTTTTAATTGCATTGTTGCCAAATGTGTTTGTAACTTTACTTTGTACATTTGATTTTCTGTTAATTGATTTATTGAAACGAGCTGCATGAAAGTTTATGTTTTTGTGCGTTACTTTTTATTTTCTAACCACACTGGTTTGATTTTTAATGTTAATCTTCAGATGTATTATCACCACTTTGTTCTTTAAAGGTGCGAGCTACACTAGATCTTTTATTCCTCTGGCCATATTGATTTTTGTCTGCTTCTTTTCTCAAACATTTTCTCTGCATTTGGGTTCCTGTTGCCAACCGTAACCTGCGGACATTTTTATAAATCGTCTGTGCTCTCGTCAACCGTCTCCGTCCCGCCATTTTGTAAGTATGTCGAATTCAAAACAGGAACTGAAAAGTGGCATTTTTTGTTTATTTTTTTTTAACGTTCTTCGTGCCGAATTAAGTTTCTGTTGCGTGTTTTTTTATAACTGATTAAAACGGTTATTGTTTTTATTAACGCTTTCCAACGTCTTTTTTATTATTTTAATTATCATTTTGGGATAATTCCAGCCTCAAAATATACGGTAGATTCTAATACAGTGGGCTTTTCTAATTGAACGCTTCAGAAAAGTGTTTTTGGCACTAGTGCACTCGGTGCTTTATCTGGATCACTCAGTATTGGCACCAATGCACTCAGTGCTGCACCAGTTATAGTCTACAGAGCTTTATTAAATTTTAAATTCTTAAGATTTTATTGCAGAAGAATATGTTCGCGCTGAAAACTAAAAAAAAAAAAAAAATGTAAGCAAAGAAACAAGCATGGAAAGTTGGAAAGCGTTACTTATGTATACAAATATATATAATACGTGCATATGCATGACTGTCTCATTTCTTATTTTGTAATAAGATTTAAATTTAAACAAAGTTTAATTTTAAGTTGATTTGAAATTCGCGTTGTGCATGACATATTTGTGTTTCATTTTTTTTAATTTATTTTTTTATTAAGAGTAACATATTTTATAACAGAATTTTTAAAAAATGCGCTTGTAGTAGTAATAATAAGTAAATTATCCGGTGTTAAAACGACAAAGCTAGTTAAAAATTAATGGAAGAACGTCATCGGAAACGTCGATAATTAAATTAAACACTGAATGGCAACTAAAAGAACACACAAAAGAAAAAAAAAAAGGTGAGAAGCTACTGAAAACATTGTGCAGTAACGATTTATTAATGGTTATCCTGATGAAACTTATTTTAAAGTAATGATATCAGGAAGAAGTTGAGGCCTGACAAAAGTGATCAAAAACGAAAACAATTCCAGGGTTTCGATTAATTTTGGAGTGTCCTGTTAATCGCGTATTGCGGTTAATAATAGGGCTGACAGTTTCGAGCCCCGTAAATGTATATCGGAGCGTGATCCCGGTAAGTCGATCGGATTTTAACACGTTTACTCAAATTTAAATAACGTCACGCTAATTAATAATAGTATAAGTATAGGAAGTGAGTCACGCATGTGTTTTCTGTTGGGCTTACTACGTCACTCCCCGATATACTAATAATCCCCCCCGGAGCGGACATCCTCCTTTAATTCTCAATTTATAGGACATGCCAAAGATTTTTGAGTATTTTTAATTTAAATGATCATTCGAATCGCCGTCGTACGAAAACACTGATCGACGAATTCGTAACGTTACACTTTTTAGTGTAACGTAACTTTGCACCAGGCGTTACAGCCAAGTAACACTGTGCAAAGTAGTTACGAATTTTTAATCAAAATTACTGTCAAAATGTCGGGAGAAGTATTTTTTTTTTAAAGATAGGAGCTATAACAATAACGCTCGTTTCTTGTCGTCACGAACAGGAAAACAAGCTAGGAGATATTTGCTTTTCGTTGAGATTCGTACCCACATCAGGAAAACTAACCGTCGTGATCTTGGAAGCCAAAAACCTAAAGAAGATGGACGTCGGAGGGTTATCAGGTAACCTGTGAAAAGTCGCTTCTAGTAATAAAATATATTCATTTTAAATGTGTGAGCTGTCGTCACCATCTTCTACTCACAATTTCTTTCGTTTACGTAGATCCCTACGTCAAGATCGCCATTATGCAAAATGGCAAGCGTATCAAGAAGAAGAAGACGAGTATTAAGAAGTGCACCCTGAATCCATACTACAATGAATCCTTTACCTTTGAAATTCCATTTGAGCAAATCCAGGTGAGACTTTTTTAATTCGTCAAACGAACGGGAACAGAAAATTAAAAAATGAGAGAGTCGAACGGATGTTAAATCCCCGAAACCCATTTGAACAGGTTAAGCGAATTTATAAAAGTAGCGCGCTCCATCGATCGAGGGATAAAGTTAAGTGAAAAATCGATGAAATGACGTCTTTTGATACATCAATCAAAGCACAGTGACGTCAATAGTCTAGTAGCAGCGCGCAAAGAAAAAACAAAATCAATCTTCCGATTCCCTAATCTGAGAGTCATTCTGGTCATTTAGCAAAAGGCAATGAGGCGTTGTTCCGTCTGAATACCCATAAAAGTCCACCTTAATAACACTATCGACTAATTTCCGAATTAAATTTGAACATGTCATTAATTAATAGAGTGTGGCCCAAAAGTCGGTTAACTCTGTTAATCGATTTTTGGCCTAGCCTCTAAAATTTCAGGCAGGTCTGCTTACAGTACGGTATCAAAAAGGGAAAGAAGACCGATACGAAATAAAGCTATTCGCGACGAAATTTATTCGAAGCTAAAGCATAAATATTTAAAAAGCTCTTTTATTCCCTAACAAGAAAAAAAAAAAAAAGGATATAATGCAATCCTAACCTTTTGAATTATTTATGGACGGAGCGGTGTTGAACCTTTTCAATGTGAGAGAGTCGTTAAGGCAACAGTTATCACGCGGGACGAATAGAAGATAAATTCTCCACGTGCGTTTATACGTCACGGAGACCGTCCCATATAAGTTGTACGTGTGGCGAGAATTGCGCATTCCTTCAATAACAATCGTAATAATAGAGTTGAAACGGAACACGAAACTAGCGAATCACACCCTTTAATTTATAGAAGAATGCGGTTTTGACGCCTCCCGTGTTTTCTTTCTTTTGTTTTTCATAAATAACAGAAAGTACAATTGGTCGTCACAGTCGTCGATTACGACAGAATCGGTACATCCGAACCAATTGGAAAAGTGGTGTTGGGATGCAACGCCACCGGAACCGAACTACGTCATTGGATGGACATGCTAGCAACCCCAAGACGTCCAATTGCTCAATGGCATTCTCTGAAGGACCCCTACGACGGACAAGAAAAATGAGGTGAGGAGGAATCTCCGGCTCGCTCTTACATTTTCGTCCCTCTCCCAATATGTGATTTTTATTTATTTATTTATTTGTTTATTTATTTTTCAGATTGTTTCAAAGGTAATTGTTTCTGTGTACATCATGTCGAAGAATATAATCCCGTTTTGTGTCGGACAAAACGGATTATAAGCAGTTTCTCAAATCTCTTCCAAGTATATCTTCTCGTAGTTCTTTTCACGTGATTTTTTGCTATAGATTTGATTTAGGAAAACCGAAAACACACTACCTTTTTGATTTTCTTCCTCGTGTTACGGGGATTAAAAACAAAAAAAAAAAAAAAAAAAAAGCAATCCACACACACACCGAAAAAAAAAACAGCAACACAACAACACAATTATACGAATTTTTCTCGATTAAAAACAATTCTCTAGATAAAACTCTAATCGTGATACATAGAATTTTACTAAGAATAGGAATTAGAGGTATGTTCGATGTAAGAATTTAATAATTAATACAATGGAAACAAAGAGCACCCGTTTAATAGGACCATGTATTATAATTATGGAAACTTCATCATATCAATGCTATTTATTATGTAGTCGTTACGTATACATCACCAGAACATATTCTGCCTAATGCTGTCCTGTGGTATTCGTGTATATTTGTGTAGTCACGAAAATAATGAAAACAGACAGTTTTACAAGCAAAAATCAGAATTATTTGAGAAATTTACCAGTTGTTTCAGCTATTTTTTATGTATATAGAACGGGAATATATATATATATAAATATATAAAAAATATATATAAATACATAAATAAAAAAAAACCATATACATACATATATATATATATATACATATACTGTACGTATAAAACACATTACTAAAATAGATGAATGTGATAGAAAACAAAAAGAATTCTTCGACCCCGTATATAATGGCATTCGGTTTGTCGAATGCCGTTAAAAGCGGGTCGCGTAATTTCGAAGTTTGTATAAAAATCTGATTGTTCTTTATTCACTTACAAGAATCTGGACAAGAAGGGGGGGCGAGTGACTGTGGTGTCGTTGGTCAGGTTTAGGTCTGGGAGTGCCTTGATCGCTTACACTCTATGAAGTCTTTCTTGTAAATGTGCTTTATTCGTTAAAAATTATTAATAATTATAATAATAATTATCCGATCGACAGTCGTTGTGCTGATGTTAAATTTGAATCTTTTATCGAGTTCACTTTGTAAATATTGGAATTGTTTCAAGTTATAGATTCTTTTAACTGTAATAAAGAAACTTCATTACCCGATTGGAAGGTTTATTCGCAAGTCTTATGAGGGATCTTGCTCGTGTGGGTGTGTGTGTGTGCTTTGGTGTCGTTAGAAGAACGAAAATTAAATTGGCACACAACTCAAATCGCTAAAGAGGGGGGGGACAGTTTCCTCCTTAGAACGAAAATTCTTCCTCGGTGGTCCTAGCAAGAGATCTCGAGTGCCATCAGGTCCCATGCTCTTATACTTTTCGATTATAATCGCCGCTCTCGTGTCGACCCAAAAGGTAAGAGAACTTCGAAATAACGCAATGTCACTAATTTCCAAGTTAATCTACCTTACGTTGACATTTGTCTTATTTTATATACATGAACGTTGTGCTCTCCACAATGAAAATCGTCGGCTTTCCGGTTGTGAAATTTCCACCCCTTACATAAATTGTAGCGCTAATGTGAGGCCTGGCGCTCTAATTCCTACGTTACGGAATTTGACCCAATGTAATTACTGATGTGGAACGTCAAAGGGCCTCAAAACAACGCAGAAACGAATGAAAGATGTAATTAGAATGACTTTAATAGCGAAGTTAATCCCTCGTTATAATAATAGTCCGTTTCCGTTTAAGGCGCACAATAATTATCCTTTAGACATTTTGTGTGCGTGAAAGGGGAGTTACGGAACAGATAAATCGTTATTATTGTGGGTTACGGTTTACACGCGACGCAACTGTCGGTAACCATGATTACGTCCACGCGCACCTTACGTACTGCGACAACCTCAAACATTTTAAAACAAATAACCATTCCGCGAGTTTTTTAAGGTGCGTGTGTCCTCTTGTAAAAAAGAAGAAAGGGCTGGAAGTAATTATAATACATAAAAATACAGTACAGAATTAGTCAAAATGACGTTGAAAACCTTTCAAATTAACTACATTTACTATGGCATAAAACACCCTTCAATATGGGCCTCACGAGATTGATAGTACGGGAGGGCGATCTCTCAAGGGGAGGAATAAGAAATCGCCCCTAAGAAAATCCGGTCCATGATTTTATTCACTGGACTAATAAGGAGGTGGGGGTTCCACGAATAGTCCTGCTTAAGTCAGTGTGGTAATCGAATTCATGTCACACTTCCTCGAATCAGATGATACCTTGTGTGAATGATACCAGAGGCCTCAGTTCTCAAACACTGGCAACTCTTGAGAGGTAGCAGGTGAATGGCACACGACATCTTTCAGAAACCCCATAGAAAAAAGTTTTAGGGCGCGAGTTCGATGATCTCGGTGGCTACTTTGTCGACGTCATTTTGTCTAATTGCGTGCACGCGTTTGTTTTGTATACGTCGAAGCGGTTGCTCGGAATTCCTCTTCTGTACCAAACATGCAAATGAATAAACATTTTTTGTGGAAAGTCAACGAACGAACGGCAATCGCGTGTAATCACTTCAATACGTAACAAAAACATTCGAAACACCTAAAAATTCAGATAAATATTTTGACTGGAAAAAAAAAATCAACGAGTCTGGTGCAGAATCTAGTTATTCATTTCTGTTGTCGCGAATACGAACGATTACAGACGGAAGGCTCCACAATACCAGAGACCTCGGTTCTCAAAATAAATATGTATTGCCCTCTTATTTAATGGAGGAGAGAGGTTTTTTATATATTAGAACTTACGATGGGACCAGCCGAAATCCAACTTTTGATGTAACTTTGGCTCTGCGCGTCAAAATGTCGCTGTCTCGATAAAATACGGTACAATTATTAAAGAATTAAATTATATAACACATACTTGCTAAGAGAAGACTGTCATAATTTTCATCATGTGCAATAATCTATTCACGATTTTTAGTAAATCCTAATGTATTCACTGGTAGCAGCTCGGTGTATGGTTGGAGCGATACACAATGTTTTATATCGGATTTCCCATTGTTTATAGTGTTTGGCGTTAATGTGCGCAACAATGAGGAAGACTGAAAAATGGGTGTTTACGTAGATTAACGATGTAGAAACGGGGTAAACCACGGAATTCTTGTTTCGAAATGCGTCATGATATTCCTGGTGTTTACTCTGTATTATACGTCACGTGTTTACAAGACATGTATTTATGTAGCGCACAGTACAGATGATTTCCGTAGCACGCAGTATGGTTGATAAGAAGCTATGTAAACATTATAAAGGTATTTCGAAATGTATACTCAACACATGGATCCGAATATCATGGAAAGCATGGATACACTTAAGAAACCACTCCCGGAAAACTATTTTTCGCGCGAGCGATGACAATGAACATCTAAATTTATTTGTTAAATGGTTACATTTCTTGTTTTACATCGAGTTTTTGCTGATTGCAGCTAATTCTAATTGCAATTTTAGTTACTTTGCATTAAAAGAACGACATCAGAAATTTCGGATAGTATTGTAAATTACGTAAGAGAAACATGAACACAGTATATTGTTTCGTCGTTATTTTCTGGAACGTTTCACCCTATTAAGAAATTGTCTACAATAAAAATTTGACTAACACACAATTTTTCGAAAAGACTGCAATTAATAGGAGAATCCATTCACGGATCCCTCTACAACAGAAGAATGTATTGTTCTAATTGAACAAGTAACAAAGTCCCGTTTACTAGTACGTAATGCATCACGTACTCGTAACTTAAGTATTAGAATAAGACATCAATTTAATCTTCGCGATAGTTAACTAACTTTTCGGCCAGCCTGTGCATTCTTATTCCATATTCTACGTGGATGAATATGTATAGTATGACTCCACACTTGATCTTAATATTCTGTACCGTATTCATAGTTAACAATGCCAAGAAGTGATCTATAGTCTTCACCAGACTATCAAAATGGTCCACGATAAAGAAGTCTTTCTTCATTACATAGAATATTTAAAGCTTTGAATACCTCTTATTGTTTTTCAACAATGAAGCATGCGAGATAAGACAGTGTGAAAGGATTGGAAGATAGAATTTATGTTACGTTATAAAGCAATTTAGAAACATGGAATCATTTTCTTCAAATTTGCCCCTAGTAAATGAGATTAAAAATTCTTGTAAATATGCAATCATTCTATAAAAGCCACACCATCGAGAAACAATAGAGAAATTTCTACAGGATGACTCAAAATTCTGCATACGAAACACCTGAAGTGATGCATCAAACGTGTTTGCCACAGGTGTGAGAGAAATGTATTTACAGTCAAAGTAATAAAACAAACAGTCTAAAAATAGAATTTATTCCGCAATCAAATTTCCATATGAAATTTAGACTAGAAATTCGGAAATCTGTCATAAAATCCGCTATTCTTCTACGAAAGACGTAGTTTCGCCGATGTTTCGCGTGTCAAAAAAATGATAAACTCGTAGTTTAAAGGTTACGTTGACTTAATTTTTGTATTTAAACACAAGTTTTATTATTTCAAATTTACTTTCGGCCAAGACGAGGTGTGATTTATGGGCGGAAATCCTGTGCACGTACAGTACCAGGGGGTCTTTGCAAAAAAATAAAGATAAAAATAAAACGATGCCAGGCTGCAATTTTTAGTTTATATTAAAATTTGACAGGGCCTCCACAACTGTTAGCGCCCCGAGGCCCCATATAAATAAATCCGGCGCCGGATCAAGAAAAATAAGAGAGTTTCGTCTTACAGCTTGTCAAATTATTCAAGGAAAGAATTTATTTTTAGAAAAATACGTCAAAAATAGATGTTGTGTCTCTTATCGACGGGTAACGGTTCGAAGTTACCAGGAGTCTAAAATAGCATGTTTTGTCTATTAAAATTTAAAAAAAAATGGCTATATTGACGAAACGGTTCAAAGGTCATTCACGTGATAATGAATTGCAAACCTCTTTTCTTTTAAATAAAACTATCAGAAAAACCCATTTTATTTATTTATTTATTTCTTTCTTATTCCTAGTTTACCTCGTAATTTTAGAGACAAAAATCTCGTTCTACAGTTGTTACCTTCTTTCCAGAAAGTAATTTTGTTTAATTTTCTTGAAATTAATAGGTTTTTTTAGACTAAATTGCATGCACAGATATTTAAGAGTAAGCAAGATTATCGATAGAGCACGCTTTTAAATAACTATGTGCGATTGGAATTTCAGACGTGTAAAATGTCAGAATGTAATCCGAGTGAAAGTACGTCGCTAAATCAAGGTAAAATATTCATTGTATACGTTAAACTGGGTTAGGAATAGAGCACAATTCATAAAAATATTTAAGGAAGAAATTGTAGGATGAAGAATTCGTTTCTGGAGAGATTAATTATTGTCAATCAAGTACACGAGCCTTAATGGGATTTCTTCCTCTCCCGTTGCTGCAACACTACAAATACCCATTTTAATATTTACTTGGAAGTGAAGGACGAAACAATGCTCAACGTTTCCTAGGATGTACTGCACGTCAAGACAAAGAATGGAAGGTAAGTAATATGTCAAATGTTCGAAGACGTGAGAAATCTGATCCCCATGTGCATGTATTTGAGGTTTCAGCTTACACTCGACGGAAGAGAGGAATGCGCAACTAGTCTTCGATTTCGTACTAGAATTACGTCAATCGAGTGGTAAACTTCCGTTGAAAGACTATAAATTCTCGTGCGTCGTCCCGAATGAGAGATGCGATTGCAAAATGAACATCGTCATCTTGCTTTTATTTGTCCTGAATGCGTATGAAAGTGAAGGCAGCTATGATTATATAATAGGTGAAGTACTCGGTTTGTGAATATAATAGGGTTCTCTTTTTTGCATTCGACAAAATGGATCGCTTCGATTCGCGCGATCAATTTTGTCGTTTTCTTTAGGTTTTTTCCCCCTTTCTACTTAATGTTTTTTGCTTGTTCGACGGGAAATTGGAGTTTCGAAAGTATTTGTGTTTTTTCACTTTTTCTTTAGTCCGTAAATTTTTGCTATTGCTACTCGATAAATACGTAAAGAGAAATTTCTCTTTGTTTATGTGAAAAATGCTATTTTAAGGATGAAATTCGAGCCTTTCACTTGCTTATTACACCACTTTTCGATTATATTATCACTTAACAGAACTTTCCTAGATCGTTTCGTTGAAGATTCGTGTGGATCGCTCTCTGGTCCATCTGTCGATATTCCCTCGGTTACTCTTATTGACACTTGCGAGATGGATGAAATAATAACAATCTGACACTAGAAATATTCGTGTCTTTGTAGTGGGATCGGGACCATCAGGAGCAGCACTGGCCAACAGGTTATCCACCAATCCTAATGTATACGTACTTCTTCTGGAAGCGGGTGAACGACCCAATTTGCTAACCGAAGTTCCTTCTTATTACTTCTATCTTTACGGATCTTCTTACGATTGGAATTACAACGTCACCTTCCCCAAATTCCCAAACATGGAAAGAAGACCAGTAATTTACTTTCGTCTGGTAAAATAACGTATTCAATCACGTCATCAAACTCCTGCGTTTTCTTGCAGCCCGTTCACTTGCCTCATGGCAAAGGACTGGGAGGTGAGAGCCTTATCAACTCCATGCTCTACATCAGAGGTAACAGGAAAGATTTCGATAATTGGGAGAAGAAGGGAGCGTGCGGATGGGGTTGGAGAGAGATTTTTCCTTTGTTTCGCAGGTCCGAACGTAATTTAAATCCAGATGTAGCCAATAACGGTAAGAATTTATGAAGAAAACCTTAACTTTAATCAAATCAAAACACCGAAAATGCTTTGCATTCCATATATATAATAACTGTATACACAGGCTATCATGGAACAAAGGGCGAAATGTTTGTCCAACGTCCAGCTTTCATCACGCACTTAGCAGGTAAGTATCTGCAAGCTGCCCAAGAATTGGGATTTAAACTTGGAGACGTCAACGGTAAAAATCAATCGGGTGAGTATAAAGCAAGCAGGCATATTATCGAGAGTGATATCCGTGTTGTAAAATGTTTTCTTTCAGTTTTCAGCATTCCTCAAATTATCAGCAAAGATGGAAGACGATGGGGTGTAGATAAGGCGTTTATTTACCCTATTGAAGGAAGGTGGAATCTCAATATTGCTACCAAGGCCCTAGTTAAAAAGGTTTGCTTTATTTTTAATTTATCGTTCATCCCACTTGATGATTCGAGCTTTCACAAGTTTACTTGAATAATTTAAGGATTGATAGAATGAGACAATTGTAATGCTTGGGTGATCTGCCAAAGAAAGGGAGTGCCTACCGGGAGGACTTTCTATGGGAAATTGGCACCTATTTAGATGTTAGATATATGAAGAAAATCTGCTTTAAGTGGCCAGCACGTTGGTCAGATGAGAATCCGCGACCTACTGCCTGCTTTCGGTGGTTTTATCCACTCGACCACTGGTCGGCATGAGTAATTTAAGCCGCCATTAAAGTTGATATCGTTGCCGATTCCGTCCATTATTGACTGGGAAAATTGAATTACAAAAAACAATTAACCTGGCAGACGTAACAAACCAAGTCTGTGTCTGGTAAATTCGACGTCACGTAGAAGACCCAGATTAACTAATGCGATAACATTTAATTGTGTCACTGTTAATTTTAATAGAAGTCACACACGAAGAAAGCTCGAGCAATAATTCCATAATATTCAATTCTGCAGATAATCATTAGAAATAAAGTGGCTATTGGAGTAGAATACGATTTTGATGGGGTAAGGAGAAAAGCTTACGCTAGAGAAGAAGTGATATTAGCAGCGGGAGCCATCAGATCTCCTCAATTGTTGATGCTGTCGGGAATTGGCCCGATTCGGCAACTGTCAAATTTTCGGGCAAGTGCATAAAGTTTCTAAAATTCATTTTATTAATGAAAAATATTTCCGATACAGAATGCAATGCGACACTTGTTCATTTTCAGATACCAGTACTGTCGAATCTTCCAGTGGGAGAAAACTTGCATGATCATTCCGTATTCAGCATCCCTCTCTACAAGGTTGACAACTTGACTGTATCGGAGAAAGACTATAAAGAATTTTTCGAACGCGGCACAGGTGAAGTCCATTGTCAAGTTTACCTTTGGTTTTAACGTCGAGTGATAGATAGCCTGCACGCGAATCTCGCTAATTACACACGAATCTTTTATCCTTTTCGTAAACGTTCTCCTCTCTACCCCATTAATCGAAATAGCGGGCTCATTTTAACACGGCTCCTGTCCAATCGAAGAGACAAGACAAGTCGATTTCTTTCAAAAGAATGCCAACGTCATGACGTTTTCATCCGAAATATGTCTCGTGTGTACGTTAGCTTCGTTGTTTAGTGTAATTTATAAGTAGAGGTTTACAAAGGAAGACAAATATTTCTCATGATAACTATTTAATATCAGAGATAAGAATCGGGTTTTGACATCATCATCATCTTCACTTATCTAATTACGAGACAGAACAGAAACGAATTTTCTTTGTTGTTCTTTGCAATACTCTTCTTGATTCTTTGAATTTTCTTTGTTAGGTCTTTTATCAATTTCTCCGACCGAAGTCGTGGGTTTCTTCAGCACCATTTACAACGAGGATTACGATTGGCCAGATGCAGAAATAGTTCTCGTCACCTTGCCCTCCTCTGTGTTTTCTTCCTCGTGGGATCAAGTAAAATATTATCTATCGATCCTCCATTTTTAATTATTTGGCTTTAATTCAAATTAATAATTTCCGAACTATAGGGAAGAGCAACCGTCATATGTGCTAATATGGTGCAGAGACCGAAGAGTCGCGGTAGACTGACATTAAGAGGCAGAGATCCACGAACTCCTCCTCTTATAGAGGGCATGTATTTATATAAAGATGAAGACGCAAATGTCCTGGTCGAAGGTAAGTAACCAATATACACACCATCTTCAATAGGAAAATAATTTATTTAATTAATCGAACGTTTCGATAGGTATAAAAATGTGCCTCAAATTAGGAAATACGCAGGCTATGAGGGGAATCGGAGATAGAATACCACCCCCGAGTATTCCCGCTTGCAATAACCATCCTGCAGCGAGCGACGAATACTATCGTTGTTTGGGCAGGCAGTTAGCGACACCCGGTTACCACGTGGTAGGCACGTGCAAGATGGGTGATCCCAATGACCATACTACCGTAGTAGACTTCGATCTAAAGTAAGTAAAGAGATTTCGGCAATTTGTTCCATAGGTCACAGATATTTAAAAAAGTCTTTTTATAGAGTGAAGGGGATCAAAAATTTACGTGTGGCCGATTCGTCTATCGCTCCCGAAGTCATCACCGGATGTACATTCGCACTGGATGTTTTAATTGGAGAAAAAGCCGCCGATTTGATCTTCAGGGATTATTATGCAAAAGTGGGCAACGCAAAGAACCCGTTTACTGAATAAAAATGATGGGAATTTTTTTTAATATATTAAAAAACTGTAACAAGTAGAAAATTAATAGATTATTCGATGTATTTGCAATAACGAACATTAAAATGTTCTCTAAAAAGTTAATACTTTATTCAAATTTTTAAACAGTGGGGCAGTGTGTCGCATAAAATCCCAAATTACTGAAGTTTTAAGTAATTTTCTCGAATATGCGACTTCGAATGTGCGTTAATCGGAAATTTAGACACGCTTCGGAGTCATTGTAAACACTAGCAGCTTGAATGTAAAAATCAATTTTTTTTTCGATTTTAATAAATGAAATAACAGGTTTTTAATAGTGTAGTCGGATAATGTGTTTATAATTTCTTAGTTAGTAGATACTCTCCCTCTCTTCTTCCCCCGTCTATCTCATTTTCACTTGATATTGACATTAGTAACACGTAAATATTGTTTAGATTACATTCATCCATTGTAAAGAGAATTCCAGATATTAAAAAATTAAGTTACTTAATTAAACGAGCAATTATTTATTATGACACAGTCACAATGCCGTATTGCAATTTTTAATCATATATTTACTGTATTTAATTTAAAATATATGCTCTCCACCTCAAATTAGTAGTGGCTTGTCTCTGTACAGTACAGTACATCATACTTTTCTATTAGCAATGACGTCGCGACGGTCATCTATCTAATCCTTTCGGGAGAAAAGTTTTGAATTGAAATAAGGCGACTTCCAATTTCCATCGGAAGTTCGTATATAGTTAATCTGACCCTCCTGTCTCTCCCTAAGTTTTCACATCTGGTCTTGACTTTCATGTATTTAACTCCGTTCTCGAGATTAAGGACGGACGGACGATAGTGGAAATTTATAGGTCTACAATTTTTTCATTAAATAATGAAAATTAAAATAGCATTATAAACACTACAGAATTAATGTATAGTACAAATAACATAAAGACGGGACCGATTTTTTATACGTCACACAACTTTTTGTGATTATGTTGCCTCTATTAGGAGGGCTGGTAAATTCACCAACACCTTGAGATACTGAATGAAGATTTAGGTAACTCATCCGATTCATTTCTCATCATTATCTTCAATTATCTTGGCCATTATGCGGAGAATGAAGAAAGCATACAGATCACTAATTAACTAGTATGCATATGACCTTTGAACTCCCTCCTTTTACTAAAGAATTAATAACGTGGCACATGTCACAGGCCTTTATCGTCAAGATCGATATATTGTGCAGATATGCCAGCATGAGTAAGCTGCATTTATGCAGACACGAGAAGAGAGTAAAACAGTAGAGAAACACCAAACAAACCAAGGTTACGCGCCTACAAAAGATCTCTTCCTGTTTTACCTGATTTTACAACAAAATAAAGTTAAAGAAAAATATAGCGAAAGTACTCTATTAACATTCTTCTTCAGCAACTTCTCGGGCCATTTTCTTCACGTTCGACAGATTGCTGGCGTGCTCCATCGTCGTCATTTTATTGATATCGTTAAGTGCAAGGGAGGATCAAGATGGGATACTATTTCTCAAGGAGATAATAGGATAAGCCTACTCCGAAATGCTATTAAAGTCTCAATTTACTGAAACTGAGTCGTATAAGTTTTCGATGCGTAATTAAGATAAGGAAGATGGTTTCAATTCTTTGCACGCTGAAACTTTGAATTTCTAGAATGGGAAAACAAAACAAGTATTTTCTACGTAATCTTGTCCTTTTATCTGTAACTTATCTTTTAACTTTAAATACTGGTTTATGCGGAAACTTGTTTCTAATATTCATCAGTAACGTCTGTGAGGCGCGGTATATGGTTACTTTCTCCGAATAAACAGAAATGTATCACGTTTTGTCATCTCGCCTGCTGTGAATCTTTCTGCTGCACAATATACACTTAGAATTGGCTATTTTCCTGATTATACGGTAGTTGTAATATTTTTTTAAAATCTGCTGCTTATAAATTTACTTTTATTAAAAGATGTATTCTGTTACACTTCTCGTATTGTTTATATGCAATTTCTAGGTAGAACACTCGCTCCTGACAAAGATCAATGCATAAATAATCCCAATTCTGGATAATTTCTCAGGAAATTGCAAACTACTGCTCGCGTTTTATTGAAAATTCCTGTAAAATCTTAGTTTCCAGGAATTTTTGTATAAACATTATACAACAATATGAAAGCTAATCGTCGGCGTTATTTCGAATAATATTAATTTTCAACATAATGCCATAATGTAGTAAATTTTTATTATCGTTAGATTACATATAAAGACGTAAAAAATATAATACAATTTACATATTATTGATAGAGCACGCATTTATATAATTGCGCACCACTAGCAAATTCCAAACAAGTGTCAAATATTGAAATGTAATCCCACTGAAATTTCTTTAGAAAACAGAAGAAAAAATAATAGAGTACAAATTAATGACAAATTACTTTGGTGAGTTGAAAGTACACGTGGCTCGTGTTATTTTGTTCTCCAATAGAAGCATGCCACGTTCTAAACGTTAAGTTTATGATGTTCCTGACGATCCTTGAAGATGAGTACCGAAGTTTACATCAGGTGTTGGTTACGTCAACGGAGCAAAAGGAGGATGCGTTATTATTGTTATGACGTCGATTACGTGCTAGAATTACGACGAAGGAGTAAACTTCCGTCTGTACTTTTCACTAGAGACTATAAATTCTCGCGCGACGTGTGTCCTTTGAACACAAGATGAGGATCCTTATCTCGCTGTTATTGGTATTGAAAGCATACGTTTCTAAATGCGCTGTCTATGATTATATAATAGGTGAGTCAGTTGGATCTCTCTTTACTGGATTTTTTAGCAAATCTGCTCCATTTCCCCTGTCTTTCTATTGATCTTCCCATTCTTTGCCGTGTTTGAAGACTGCAAAAAAAGGCACTTTTTATAAATACTAGTCTGATTTTTGACACTTTTATAGTGGGTTCGGGGCCGGCAGGTGCGGTACTGGCCTACAGGTTATCTAATCATCCCGACGTGACAGTTCTTCTTCTAGAGGCTGGTGAACGCTGCAATTTGGTAAGCGAAGTGCCCACATTGTATCCGTACCTTCAAGGAACATCATGCGATTGGGATTATAACGTTTCCTTTCCAACTTACTACATCCCAAAAGCCTTTAAGAAAAATGTGAGTCATTATTTTCCATTCGAAAAATTCTCAATGCCATATTTAATCTTACTTTTGAGTTCTTGCAGCCTGCTCACATGCCTTCGGGCAAAGCTCTAGGAGGCAGCAGCATTATCAACTCCATGCTGTACGTCAGAGGAAACAGGAAAGATTACGACAATTGGGAAAGTAATGGAGTCTGTGGATGGAAATGGGATGAAGTCCTTGGATACTTTCTCAAGTCGGAAAAAAATATGGATCCTGATATAGCGAACAATGGTAAACTTTTCATTTCTCTTAATCTTCTTCTTGTTCTTTTATACAAATAATGAACTTCTTTGTATATTACATCACTACTATTTTCCTGGTAATAAAGTTTCAAAGTTACTTTATTACCAGGAAAATAACAGTAACGTTTCTTGCTTTTAATTGATATACAGTATTTCATTAAATTCTTATTTAGTATTATATAATAATTATTCCAGAAGAATTCTCGGAGAAACAAAAATTACACGTTGACATTCCATCAGAAATTGGGTGCTTTCACTTAATTTTTAGGCATTTAGTAGAAATTTTTAAATATAAAGGCATATTTTAATACATGAGGTAAGAACATATGATACGCGTGTCCGAAATTGTACGTCGAAGAAACCCGCCTAGTACACAGTATTTCATTTATTTTCCCATTCTAAAGCTTTGACAGACATTGATTTTCTTAAACTACTTATTTTGACACTTTCAAAAAGGTTTGTCACTCTTGTATTGCGTTCAGAAACATCGGGTTAATTCGGGTTTATGGCTCTTATACGTAATTGAAACAATTACAACCGTCAACGTTAGAATAACCACATGTAAATCCGGTTGCCAATGAAATCAGCTAAATGAATTTGGCACGTTTGCGCGTACAAGAAATTTTTGAAGAAAATTATAATTTCAGACCAATCAGATTAAGCATCCATTCTCATTTATAATCGTTATAAATGTAGGTTATCATGGAACAGCCGGTAAAATGTTTGTCCAACGTCCAGCTTTCGCCACATTCTTAAAAGATAAGTATCTGCAAGCTGCCCAAGAATTGGGATTTAAAATTGATGACGTCAACGGTTTCAACCAATCGGGTGAGTAGAAAGCGTGCAGAATTATTAATTCAGCCGACTCTTTACTGTAAAATGTCCCCTTTCAGTGTTCACCAATCCTCAAACTACTTGTAAAGACGGCAGGCGATGGGGTGTGGATAAGTCATTTCTAAATTACCACGTGGGAAGGAATAACCTTAAAATTCTCACTTCGGCATTAGCTACAAAGGTTTGTTAGAAGGTTTAACGTATTAGAAGGAAGCTCGGGAAATTTACAGTTTAAATTCGATAGGTGATAATTGAAGGAAACACGGCTAAAGGGGTGGAATACGAATATAAAGGTGTTATTCATACAGTTTATGCTAGAGAAGAAGTGATACTGTCGGCCGGAGCCGTTCGCTCCCCTCAACTATTGATGCTATCAGGAATTGGGCCGCCTTCACACCTGAAGGACTTCCAGGCAAGTGCACAAAAATTCTAAAATTCATTCGAGTGAAAAATCAGAAGGAAATATTGAGTCGATATACTTACTATTTTACATTTGAATTTCAGATATCCCCAATACTAAATCTTCCAGTGGGAAAAAATCTTCAAGATCATCCCGTAGTCAGCAGTTTTTTATACAAGATCAGCAACCTAACTGTATCAGAAAAAGACTATAAAGAATATCTTCAGCATGGAAATGGTGAATCTGCTTCGTTCATTTATTCGGCAACGAGTGAATATAGTTATAAAATAAACGAATTTTTCTTACTTAGGAATATTTGCAAGTGTACCGACCGAAGGTCTGGGATACTTCAACACCATTTACAACGAGGATCACGATTGGCCTGATGCGGAAATAGTGCTTGTCACCTTGCCCTCATCAATCTTTTCCACTTGGGATCAAGTAAAACACTCGAATAAAATAAACAAACTAAGATAAGATAACTTTCAACATTCTTTTTCGAAATTTTAGGGAAGAGCAACTGTTATTTGCGCTAGTATAGGCACGAGACCGAAGAGTCTTGGAAGAATCAGATTACAGAGCAAGAATCCACGAATTTCTCCCGTAATAGAAGGCAATTACTTGAAGAAAGAAAGTGACATAAACGTCATGGTAGAAGGTAAGTAAAAAGATATAAGATGAATCCATTGTCACAATTTAATATACGTTGCAAAACGAAGTTTCCTTTAATTATCTGAACATGCTGGTGTTGGAACGTTTTAGCTCTGAAAATGTGCTTGAAATTTGCTGATACGAAAGCCTTACGGGGCATCGGAGAGAGAATACCACCCTTGAGTGATCCCATTTGCAATAAATTTAGAGCAGGAAGTGACGATTACTATAAATGCTTGGTAACGAAGTACGCGGGACCGGGTTTTCACTTGGTGGGATCGTGCAAGATGGGACACCCTTTAGATAATTCCACCGTAGTGAATTTCGATTTAAAGTAAGTTAATCAATTTTGGCAATTTGGTATTTATGACACCAGAAAGAACATTGTGTTTTTTATAGGGTGAAGGGAATAGAACGTTTACGTGTGGCCGATGCTTCTGTGGCTCCCCAAATGATCACGGGTCATCCATATGCCATGGCAGTCATGATAGGAGAGAAAGCTGCCCAAATGATCTTAAAGGATTATAATGAAAGAGTGGGCTAATGGTAACATTCGATAAAAGAATGGTTAAAAAAAAACCTTTATAAATTCTTCTTTTGTTTGTAGATTAGGAAAATGTAGTAAAGAAAAATTGTGGAATATTATTGAAATTATTTTCATTGCACCAACAATAAATACTAATAAGTCATTACCCATAACATATAGTGAATTCGGACGTCGTCGCAAACTCCTGAAATTAATTGAATTCATAGTTGTTAATAGCTGCTATAAAACTTGTTACAATTACTTCAAATAATTCCACTTCCACGTTACGAATTATCAGACACGAGTGTAATTGAGGCATTGTTAGCGGTTGTTAATATAAGAGCGCACGAAAACGTCTCGAGTAAATAATATTCAAACAAAATCATCAAACATACGCCAAACAAAGCACATCAAAGAAAAGCAGTTCTTTGAAAACGAATTATTTCGAAAAACCTTTATACTTTTTTGTTTTAATGTATAATGTATTTTTGTCTTTGTTTTTACGTATATTTATTAATTTTGGGGGTGAATATTCGGGATTTTTATATTTACTTATAAAAATAAATAAATAAACAAAGTACGTAACATGTATAACTATGTAAATTAAAAAATCGTTCGTTTAATTCGTTTCTTGAAAAATATTATTTAAATTTACCGGGTAGTAGATCAGTAGAAAAGAATGGTGATTTTAATAAAGAAAACAATAAAAACTTTCGTATTTTCTTTATTATTGATCTTTTATTTTNATTCAACCTTTTCAAAATATAATTAGTCCTCGCGTAATAATGCTACTTGTATATGCGTAATGACGTACTACAGGACTGATTCAAAACGCTAGCAAATAATTCACCTTATTGTGCAGTGACTAATAGGTCATAGTATATAGATCATATACGTGACGCTTAACTGTGTACTTCAGTGGCGTGCCATGACATTTGATGATAGAGAAGCTGTGTTTCTGTAAGAAGCCGACATCCAGGGGCAATCAGTCAATTGCGCTCCAGTGATGGTCTAGGGTCCATTCGTATCGTTTATTCGATAAGCCAGTAAAAACCGTAGACTTTTCTAAATGTATTTTTAATATCACAGTTACATTCTGAATCGCTAGCCACGTTATAAGGGCTACAATTAAAAATAAAATAATAAAAATATAAATTTTCGTCTACAAGTACAGTACATATCTTCTAATATCAGGACTTATTATACTGGCTTTACAGATAATGCTACAGAATTTCACAGAAAACAATTTTTTATTTTATTTAATACACCTGGACACATACATAATATTGCGTTTCGGACTCTTTCGCCCCTCCTCAGCAGGTATTTTTGTAGTATATTCTAAATTAAAACAATAAAATAATTTTAAAATTACATTTAACATTACCCGACAAACTTATTTATTTATATACATGAATAAAATTCTTACAATTTTCAGACTTTTTTTTTTTCAATTTTAACCAATAACAACAATAATACTATAAACTTAAGCCTGTATTAAACAAATTATTATATTAATGTTTTACATTATATCTGTTTTTTTACATTTATTTACTATTTTTTACAACTTACATCTCTTTCTGTTCAATTTGACTAACTCCTCGTTTCCACTTCTTTCCATTGTTCTTTTTATCTCTCAGACACGCCCCTTCCTCTATGATTCTTCGCCATGATTGGTGCATTTCTCTACCAGTATTACTGTTTATTCTGTATATGTCTAATTATATTAATATGTTCGTAAAGTTGTCGTTTGTAATTATTCTTTTCTTTTTTTCTTATTTTTACTGAATAATTACAAAAGACAACTTTACGAACATATTAATATAATTAGACATATACAGAATAAACAGTAATACTGGTAGAGAAATGTACCAATCATGGCGAAAATTTATATTTTAGTAAGTCAAGGACATTGAAGCATTTTAATTAAATTAAAATAATAAAAACTTACTTGGTGAAATAAAATGTGTGGTGGATGTACCGGTACATACCTGGTACAACATTTTCTTCAATTGTATGAATATACTTTTAAAGAAAATTATAATTAAAGAAACGTATATAAAAATAACAAAATATTCTTTACTTTTTAAATCTTAAAACAATGCACTTAGTCAAATAGCTCCCTACGAGTGGCTAATGGATGGAATCGAAGACGGTTGCAGAGCGTGCATACAAGCGGACTGCCGAATCCCCAGGGTGCCGATATCGGTCAATGTCAAATACCTCTTTTGTCGCATCACTAGTATATCTCAAAGGACGCGACAGGGCTGTTGTAGATTTTAAACGTTTCTCACCATAGCTGTAAAAATCTAAATATGTTAAACTTAATAGTCATTTGTTTTCTAACTAACTCGTTTTAGGACCAAGTGTCCTCAGAAATTTCCAAAATTTACAACTTTTCGGTCACTCTCGTTGAACTGGAAAAATGTCTGTCTTTATTACATCTAATATTTCGAAGAAATCAGTCCCACTGTACTCGACTAGAGATGGTTCGGTTAGGCTTTTGTTTAAGTAAAATTTCGGCTCTTTCATCAGAGTTTTGTTTATGCCCCCAATTCCCTACTCGCTTAATTATTTAACTACTTCTTAAGTAGAAATAAGTCGAAACCACTTACTTTATACTCGAATATTTGTAGTCTCGGGAAAAAAGTGGAAAGACAAATTTTTATGACAAACGAATACATAAATCGTAAATTTAAGGGAAATAAATTCTAGAGCTTTTTCTGTACCTCGTGCATCTCTCTCATTCATTAAATTTAGTTGTAAATGACGCTGTCAAAGTAACAGTTAATTTTTTAACATTATAGAAGAATTGTACACGTTTTTTTCTACATCCCCTTAGAGATGGGATATACGAAATCGTAATATCACTGGTTTAACATCGAAATCCGTGAGTAATATAAAATCGGAAAGCAAAATAAAAATATCAAATTTTTTAATGGATTTTTTAAACTCCCGTCAACTATACAGAACTATCGTAAAAACATACCAGTAAATTCTTATCGGTTGGGTTAAGTTATAAATCTACTCGTTATTCATATAATCGGCCAAATATCTAGCGGGCGGGCGGCTAACAGCCCAGAACCGGTCCTGGATAGAATTGGATCCGTTATACGTGTAGCAGCATCCAACCAAGGTCGTAGGCTTCCACCAGCTAAACCGGGTGAGGTTGGTGCTCTGTAAAGCGTGTGCGCGAATCTGGCTTTTTGGATGCTGACAATACAATGCTTCCACTCCGCCACTAATATTCGAATATACAATAGCAATCTTATCTTTTTTCACGTATAGTATAAAAATTTGCAATAAGATACATAATGCGGTTATAATAAAATATTGTGCGATTATTTTCATATAATTAAAATTAATATGTATTTATTTTTTAGAAAATACAAGGGAAGCGGCGCATCCACCGCTTCCAAAATGCGTGTGAATACGACCGATGCGTACAAGCGCAATAACAGTTATTCCGGTGATCTGTTCTTTTGTACGAAGACTTGTAAGGGGGAATCAATTATCTGAATAATTGATTCCCCCTTATTTGCAGCTCCGCATTTCACAGAAAGACACGAGAATTATTTATTCAACATCCCACTTTCATCAACATTTTCATACCACTTACTCTTTTCTTCTGGCCTTTTGTCTCTTCCCTCTTAACACGCAATATCTTCTCATTCGTTCGGTTTCCTCCTTCAAAAACCATCCCCATTTTATTACCTGTTCACTCTCCTCACAGGACGTCGCCAAAGTTCTGAATCTGCAACTTCCGTTCAATGTTTTTTTTTTTAAACTTTTTTCGCCCTGTGGACACTAAGAGAGCCTCTTTTAGCAAGCCCATTATGGGTTCGGCCAGGGTGACAATGAGGCAGTCGGGTGGACCCGTATGGATTTGATCCCGAGTCCCCCAGAACTATAGGCTGCCACCTTCAATGGTCTACCGAAGATCGTAACGTTTAATGATTTATTATGGAAACGGTTAAATTACATTCCGAAGTGGATTAAAAGATAAAAAGAAATTATGAACTTGTTAACGCTTTACAATACTGGCATTTTCTTAGAAATCAATACAAACATTTGATAAAATCCGATGGTAGTTAGGAACACGATTATTATCTGTCGAATTATCGAACGAAAGTTAAGCACCGTTTTATCTAGGACACCTTGGAGAAGAGTTTCCCTCCAAAGGTTAGAAATTCCTCCAATAAAACAATCCAAGCAAGCATTCATAAAATTAACGAACTCATGTTTACGAGTACAGAATGTCCTGCAAAGCGGAGGCTTCAGAAATTGTGCCGTAGAGTGTTCAGGTCTTTTAGGAAACTAATGTTATACTGTTTACAAAACAATTAAAAATTTTTCCTTGTAGATGACCTCTGTCCTCTCTCCCCCGTTTAAGCCAAATCCCCCAGACCTTGGAATCTAGATAAAATGGTGAAGTTAAATATAATCTAAAACCTTTCAACAGATAACGTCGACATATTTGCTATTCTATTAATTATTTTAATCGAACCGCAACCACTTTCTCTCAAATTTTAAAAGTTTCCAGAGAAAGAACCTGTCTGAAGCGAAATAAGTTAAATTACGATATGCATTAACAAGGTAGTATTTGATTACATAATAGGAAACACGTTAAACACATGCTACTGTAAATCCCACGTTAGGATTTATAATACAAGAATATCGAATAAAACCTGAAATGTTTTAAAAATGAATTTATCAAAATTAAATACCAAATTAATTTATGCTATCTTAGTTATGGCGGTGTTAAGATACACCGTGTAGGTCTAACTAACAAGTAAGATACGGTGAAGTACGTGTTTTATTTGGAGAATTTTTCCAACTCCTCATTTCCCTTCCTTCCTTGATACTTCCTTGAAGTATCATCCTAGATTAATAATAAATGGCTGGATGAGATTTTTTTAGATCACTTCTATGAATTTTAAATTATTTTTGCGAGTAGAACCTGTAATATATATATATATAACACATAAAATTTATATCTTTATTAATTTAACGTCGTTTAAATCACAAAAGTGAGAATGAAACTGCAAAAAATATTTTTCAAATTACGCAAACTGGATTTTTACCTAACTCCATTTTTTTGTCATTGTTTTTGTCGTAATAGATTACGAGACACCATCTTCTTTGTATCACATTCTGTGCTGTTTTTATACATATTTCTCATTGATTGTAACGCATTTCCCGAAATATTTCGTCGTAATTACCTTTCAACACAGGTTCAAATGAATCCGATGGCCTTTGTTTAGGAAGAGTTGCTTTCCCCTTCTTTGCCATGTAATAAAAGAATTAAAACAAAAATATTTATGTATAGAATCTAAGTACAATGTCCTACATAACAAATATTTTTGTTATTTTGTATAGTTTATTCGACTTTATTGTGTAATGGTAAATGAACCCAGTGCCGTAACTAGGCAGTGCAACAGGGCCCACTTGGAAGAGGGTCCCAAAATGCATGTATTTGTTTTATTATTTTCCCAAACCTAATTAATTAAGGGGCCTAAATGCAAATTATTGCACAGGACACAGGAATGGTTAGTTACAGCACTGTTCCAACCTATAAAACAGAAAACTTCTTTAACCCTTTAAATCCGTATCTTCTCTCTTCCCTTTACTCTTCATACATCACTATTATCTATAATTAAGTATGTTACATCATAACGAATAATCGAGTGGGCACGCAAACCTGCGCGTGCCCACTCGATGTGTATATCTTCACTCGCTCTCCCTCTCATCATTGAGTAAACGAAAATAAGCTGCATTTGAGCTCTTGCGTAGCGTCAAGCGTGCAGAAAAATTACGTCAATTTGATGTCATGCTTACGCTATGCAAATCTTTGGGTAGCTTGGATGACGTCAAATTGACGTTGATCGAGTTCCGCTGCATTAGCTATAAATTCTCCAGTGTCGTTTCGAGTGAGCGATACGAGTTACGAGATGAGGATTCCTGTATTGATATTGCTGATTGTACAAGTGTACGGTCGAAGCTATGACGTTTACGATTTTATTATAGGTGAGGCATTTACATCACGCTTCCACGGATTTGCTCGTAAATGAATTATTAAATATAATTCGCGTGGCCCGAATTATGACTGCCGAGCGCTTGTGTGGTCAAGTGATGCTTTCTTTGTCAGTAAGTTTATATAATCCAAGCGTTCTCTTGTTCGTTATTGTGTGGTCAATTAAGACTTTGTTTGTCGGTGTGTGATCCATCCGTATGATAAACACGGATATGTAAAATGCTCTTCTAATGATGAATAACCGATACTGTTGACTCATCTAATTGTTTTTGCTGTCGTTTCGAAAAAACACCTGACGAAGCAAAACAGACAGTTCGTCTCATATTATTTAAGATCGTTTACCCGTTTCTCGTGTAACTACTTCTTTAATTGCTACTAGTTTTCATTCTTATGATAGTTACAATTGCTTACGTTACAATTAGTTCGATGGTGGTAATAGATACCTCTCGTTGCAGTGGGTTCGGGACCCGCGGGTTCTGTACTGGCCAACAGGTTGTCGGCTCATCCGGAGTTCAGAGTTCTCCTCCTGGAGGCGGGTCAGCGCTCCAATTTACTATCCGAACCGCCGTCGTTGTACTTCTTTCTTCAAGGAACTCCCTACGATTGGAATGACACCGTCTCTTTCCCTCGATATAATGATTTTGGAGTCGGTGATGAAGTAAGTGTTTAATTGTGTAGTGAAATTGCGGATTTTCGTCCCGCGATTAAATTATTTTCTGTTTTCTCTCAGCCCTCTCGCTTACCTCAAGGTAAAGCACTAGGAGGGGGAAGCATTATCAACTCTATGTTGTATGTTAGAGGAAACAGGAAAGACTACGACAACTGGGAACAGAAAGGAGCCTACGGGTGGAGTTGGAAGGACGTTTTCCCATTCTTCCTAAAGTCGGAAAACAACAGAAATCCGGAAATAGCGGATAACGGTAAGAATAGTTTTTAAGAAAGGAAATGTTTATGCATCCGATAATTGAGTGATGTGATAATTTAATGTTTACTCAATATAAAATATTATCGTCGCACTTCAAATTCGTAGTAACGAGGTCGTTCACGATGATTAAAACAGGGATTAGATATAAGCGAATGCCAATTCGAAGAAGTAATCCCGCGAAAGATATTTTTGTTACTATTATGAAAGATTTTTCAATAAGATTTATTGCACCAAATTCCCTAAAAACTAAATTTTAGGGCCGTTTTAAACAGTCTTGTTCAATTGATGCAAAAATAAATTATTTAATTTGAGAAATGTCTTATTTTTGGGGACTAAGAGGGTTTTTTTTAGCATGCCCATTACGATTCGGCCAGACTCACAACGGGGCAGCCGGGTAGCGAACGGACTATCGTGGGGATAGTATTTTGGTGTAATCATTCATCAGTTCCACACGTTTGTGTGCATGAAATGTTTCATTGAGGCCATTTCTGTAAATGTTCTGATCTACTGTTTCGCACTTTAACTGCTGTATTTCAAACCAACTTCTTTTACATTCTGCTGTAGCATTTAGCGAAGAGATTTCACAAACATTCATTGAAATGTATGCATTGAAAAAGTTTTTATTTATTTTTCACAAGATTATACAAATCAATCCGCAGATTTCATAAATAACGAAGGATTGCGGAATGATTTCTATAACGATCGCAGAGATTTCGCGCAATAACGAAGTGTTTCTTAAAGTAAGCAATTTTAAGTAATAAGTTCATTGATCTTTTTAATGTTCCCATTTGTTATGATGAAATACTATTATTCTATGGTTTTTTTTTAATGTTGTATCAACGTCGCCAACATCATCTCAGTGCACAGAAACGTAATACATATTAATTAACTTTGAGAATTTGTTTTTCATGAAGCAACACTCAATTAGAAGTGGTCCTCCGTATTCACTTTAGCTTTAGATGGCCGGATGGCCAAGCGATCAAGGTGGCCGATCTGGGGTACCCGGGTTCGATCCGGACGGATCGAAAGATACCCCAGGAATTTTTCGGTAGATGGTCCGTCCACTTATATCAGGCTCAGTCCTTATCACCTAGCTTCCCCATTGTGAGCCCGGCCGAAGTCATATTGGACTTGCCAAAAAACAGGTCCTCTTAGTACCCACGGGGTGAAAAGAGTTATTTATAACAGTCAGCTAGTGCAAAGGATGAAGACTTTTATTTTCTAAATAATATTAGAAAGGAAAAAAAAATGTTACAATGAACGGAATTGAAAATATTGTATTTCAAAAGAAATAAACTCAACTTTTAAAAGATGTAAACAAACAACTTGTTTTACAATACGTTACACACTGCTTAGAAAGTAGGTCTCAGCAATTGATATTGACTATATCATTTTACCATGAAATCATTTTCAAATTCCCTAGTTACTACGAAATCATTCCTGCTTGCTGACTATAAAAATTAGCTGCAATTCGGCGTATTTTGTTTAAGCCAGTAAAAACATTAAAAATATTTTCGAAATTTCCTCAAAAATGTCAGTTAATCCAATAGGACGATATCAATTTTTAGAGTTTCCAGATAATAAATAACGAGAATTAACTAACACGCATGTGTTACGACTTTACCCGCCTCATGTGGCACATCATCTCTGACATCATTTTCAAGCAACGTTTGCAAATTACTCCAGAATGTCCAGATATAAAATATTTAGTTTGTAAATTATTAAATATAGTGTTAACAGCAGAAGTATATTTAACAAACGGAAGCATCAGGCTTCATACTTTTTTTCTAATCGCAGGCTTTCACGGTAAAAATGGAGAGTTATACGTCCAATATCCCGCTTTTGCAACTCCTTTGATGAAAAAATATCTGAAATCAGTCCACGAATTAGGTTTCGGAATTGGAGACGTCAACGGTATCAAACAAACGGGTGAGCGAAAAGTTCTCAGAATTACTATAAACAATCGAGATCGATGTTACAATTGTTCTCTTTCAGTATTCACCAACCCTCAAATTAACACTAAAGATGGCAGAAGATGGGGTATGGATAAGGCATTTCTGAATCCTATTCTGGGAAGAAGAAACCTTCGAGTTATCACCTCCGCTTTCGTTAGAAAGGTTTTTTCACTTTGTTATTTAAAACTGACCCCTCTTTGATCCGTGTTCATCACTCTAGCTTCATTAGGCGGATAGACGAACAGACTAATGCAATTCATAATTTTTATTCGCGTAGGTATTATTTGGAGAAGGAAAAGTGGCCGAAGGTGTGGAATATGAATATCAAAACCGAACTTATAAAGCTTTTGTTAAAAAAGAAGTCATAATATCGGCAGGAACTATCAGATCCCCTCAATTATTGATGCTTTCCGGAATTGGTCCTGCTCGGGAACTTAGAAAATTGCAGGTATGTAGAATAGTCTTAAAATTTGTATTACTAATCAATTCAAAAAATCTTCATTGATATTTCAGATACCCGTAATTTCGGATCTTCCAGTTGGAGAAAACTTTCAAGATCATCCTGTACTCAGCACCCCTATTTACAAAGTCAGAAACCTATCATTATCGGAAGGAGACTATAAACAGTATTTCTCTAACGGAAAAGGTAAAGTCCGTTGTTTTCTATTGTGTCATAACGGGCTAGTATAGAAACGAAGTGAACAACTCGTTTTTAGGACTGCTGGCATCTCTACCTACGGAAGTTCTCGGTTTCTTCAGCAGCAATTACAATCCAGATCCCGATTGGCCAGATTCCGAAATAATTTTCGTCACTTTGATCTCGTCCAGTTTTCTGCCTCCACTTGTTGTAAGATATTGTGTCTCGATACTCGTCTTTCGTTAATTATTCGAACTAATCATTATTTTCATCTGTACTTTCAGGGAGGAGGAACCGTCCTCTGTAGTAATATAGCGGTAAGGCCTGAGAGCCGTGGTAAAGTCAGCTTGAGCAGTCGTAATCCTCATTCCCCTCCTATTATAGAAGGCAACTATTTAACCAAACAGCACGACGTCCGCGTTATGATCGATGGTAAGTAAAACGATGCAGCGTGCTCTCTGACAGGCCCACTTTAATTGAAGGCAAGTAAACCAAGGAATAAAAAAATTTATTAGGTCTGAAAACGTGCTTGAAAATAGCTAATACAGCATCTCTGAAGGGCATAGGAGAGCGAATACCACTTCCGAATGTTCCCGTTTGCAGCAACTATAAGCGGGAGAGCGACGGTTACTATTCTTGTTTGATAAAGCAGTTATCGCAACCAGGATATCATCTGATGGGCACATGCAGGATGGGTGATCCTAAAGATAATACCACGGTTGTAGACTCCAATTTAAAGTAAGTAACGCGATCTCGACAATTTTCACTTAAGACATAGATATAATCGTCTCGTCTTTACAGAGTGAAAGGGGTGAAAGGTCTACGCGTGGTCGACGCTTCTGTCGCTCCCGAAATCGTGGCCGGGCACCCTCAAGCTATGACTCTAATGATAGGAGAAAAGGCCGCGGACATGATCTATAAAGATTATTTGACGAAAATGAAATCGTGGGTGTAAAACGCACGAATCATAAGAGAATATAATAAAATAAAAATAAACAAGTTATTCTAACATTTTTCGTGGTATTCTTTCATCCTATGGTACATTTTTTGCGTATCACATTTTATAAAAGAATATAAATGAATAATTTGTAATATTTGGTTTGATGAGACAAGACAATGTAACATTTGGGTGATCTACCAAGAGGCATGACTCCCGGGAGGACTACGCAAAACTGAGTCTTATTTAGTTGCTGGACGCGCGAAGAAAACCCCGAAAACGTCAAAAGTATGGTGTCATTACATTATTATCTCATACACTAGCCTACTGCTCTGGCGGACTTGGAATCGAATCCGGTCGGTCGAAAAACCGAGCTCCAGGAAATTCGTCCACGATACATTTGGTCCTCCCTCATCACGCGGCACTCCTATTATGAACCTGGCTAAACTCTCAATGGACATAAAAAGGAACTGTCTTAGAGCTCCTAGGACGAAAAGAGTAAAAATAAAAAAAAGTTCAGTAATCTGAATATATGAGCTTACGTTACGAATTATATTCGTGTCGTATTTTAGTCGCGTTTGTTTCTTCAGAAAGCGTTAAATCGCAGTTATTTACTAAATACAAACAAAATAACTTCAATTAAAAATCATGTTAAAGTGCGCTTTATCAAATTTATTAGAATAAATTTAATATAGTACAAAATGATTCGATATATCACGCTATTTTAAGTAATGCGATTTTTTACAATTCGGACACAGGTTACTATAAATATAAAATTCTTCAAACCATTTAAGATAAGATTCTTGCGGAAAATATGTTTTGGTTGTTCGTATGGAATCCTGAAATTGCGTATAGACGGGAAAAAACTGTGTAAATAACAACAAAAAATATGCATTTCCTGCAAAGTTTGCCGCAAACTACCTGAATTGTACAGTATGTGTCGAAATATGCATTAACCTAAATGAAACAAACGACTTTGTGGTTGTATGTTTTGAACAACATTTCGCACACCATTCATCTCAGTTAATTCAGAATTCTTTGTGATACAAAGGTCATTCAGTTGAGTATTATTGTGTGCAATTCCTTCTATTTTTCGACATACGATACGTTTACTAGTCTCCACAAGATAATAAAACAGTCGATTCATGTTACGTACCGTATGTTTTGCATCTGTGAAAAATTACACTTATAATGATGAAATACTCTCTATTAGAGTTAATCATAACAACTTTCGCGAAAACTGTCGTCGATTTTAAACTAGGAGCTTGCATTTTTCCTCAGTTTGTAACAGAAATGTTGGTTTGAGATTGCAAGAAAAACTTAATCGATTATTTTAAAATATTGTAAATATCTCGTTCTTGATTCTAATCTAGCTTAATTTTTATCACCTTCCGGAAGTTTAGTAAAATGTAGAGAAAATAAACGTAACTAGCGAGCGACATAAAGCCACGAACGTAAATACTAACTACTAAAGAGAAAAATCAAACTTTAAAATAATTTGAACCAATTTTTCATCTATTAGACTGATATGAGTAGGAAATTCGTAGTATCCTTTACCGATATGAAAATTTTCATTATTAAAAAAGTTTTAACTCTGAAGAACTTGTGTCATAAAGTTATTAACATTGCAGATATAGGACGTTAGTTTCCCCTGTAACCAGAAGATATAGCGTTGCTTCTCGTTTGAGAAATTTAATTTTGCAAGATTTGTAAAGGTATTTTAAAACGGACCAACCCCAAAAAATTTCTAGAATTTTCCGGGTCCACCGGAGCCGTAGGCTGCCACTTTAATAGCTCGGCATTCCGGCTACGATGGTTACTACATATATATATGTAATTCTTAAGAGAAACTTGATGAAAATGTGCAGAAAATGAGAAATAACACTCTTATGTAATAAATTCAATATTGTAAGGGAGGGTTAGTTATTTTTTTGAAGAAAAGAATATGGCGGCCGAATTGTTGTCAATAAACTTTTTGTTCATTTTTCACCGAATTATTCATTTATTTTAAGCTTAAGTAACACTTTTACGTGCACAAACGTACAAATAGATTTAATAAATTAATTAAACACAAAAATATTCAATTAATAATGTATGTGCATGTCCAAATCAAAATTCCCGCGTATAATAAAAAAATAAAACTAGATAATTTTCGAATTAATCAAAGATTATTAATGCATACACCTTTAACAAATTTAATTTATAAATTTTATAAATTTTAATTTATATAATGAAATTTTTGAGAAAAATTTTTAATTCAAAATTTCAATCGAAACAAGCAGATGGCACTGTTATCGATGGTAAACAATGACAGGTGGATGACAGACACATGGCGAATCTACTGGAAAACGTTCATTCGGGTTTGCATTTTCCCGAATTCGGTGAAAAAGTGAGATTAATTCGAGGAATGTATAAATATTATCATTATCTGTGCGACGGATTCGATGATAGAGTAGGCTATAACCTTATAACCTTATTTCTTTTGATTTTTGCCTTGTGACTATATTCCAATATAAATACAGTATATAAAATTACTTGTCCTGACTGACTGAGTGATTGATCCATATAAGTGAGAGCAAACCGCTGATCTAAAGAGGTGAAATTTGGTACACAGGGTGCGTCATGAAAACGCATACTAAGAAGGGATTTTTTGAAATTCCGCGCGGGGAGGAGAGGGAGAGGATTAATTTAACCTGAAGAACGGCTTCTACTGTACTATTTTAGATGCGATTATTTGTTTTTATAGTAACAACTAATGATTGACAATCTTACTGAAGTATCGAGGAAGGGTTATTTCTATCAAATTGCAAATTCTGCATGGGTGAAGCCACAAGTAACAGCTAGTTTCTATATATTTCAATTTTTTAACCAAATGTTCGAACCATTTTAAATTCGAATTTGTTATTGCGTATTGGTTTGATTGTAAACGTTCCAGAAAATTCATCAAATTGAAAACAGTTTGTTTGATTCTCAGCAGTAGGTGTTATATAACAATTACTATGGTTGTTGAAATACTGAATATAAATGGGGCTTGCTTGCAAAATCCATGCTGGCAAAGTCGCGAGTAACAGCTAGTCTTTGATCAATATCGTAACCGAATTACATGTGGCACATAATTGTTTCTTAAATGAACGCTACATCCTCTCGTGGATAAAATTAGAACTATAATCTAATCTACCCTAATTACAGGAATTTTCAATGGGGAGGAAGAGCTTGGGAAGAGAAATGTTTGAAAGACAGGGCAAAGTGGAAAAGGTGTTAAAACCACTGACTTAGTAGTGGGAAGATTCATTCGCAAGTCTGCGAAGGAACTTGACCTCGATACATTGTCGCTTGTGTTAAGGAAGGTGAGGATTATGTTGAAGAATGTGGAGACAAGTAGATCTTGACTGGCATAAAAAAAAAGGANTATATAAAATTTTATTCTTTAAAGATAATTCAATAATTTAATAATATTTAGATGAATTGAAGTAACCGATTCATTTATTTCTCCTTTCCAAGTTAATGAAGAAAATAATACTAAAAAGCCATTATCCTCTAGCATTTAAACACGTCGACAAACTTCATCCCAATTGAAACTTAGAAATAGCCTAACTTTTCTATTAATAATTTTAATAATATCGTCAAAACAAGATATAAGATCAATAATAAATGTTATCGAGTGATATAAGAAAGGATCTATTATTTTATATTTAAGGCCTTTCTAATGGGATAATCGCGAATATACAGTCGACCCCCCCCTATAACACTGTTGATAATTCCGTTTTATATGAATTCCATGTTGTACGAGTCACTTAGATTTTACAAATACATGTGCCGGGCTGTGAACGGCTCAAGTATTTGTAAAATCTAAGTGACTCGTACAACATGGAATTCATATAAAACGGAATTATCAACAGTGTTATAGGGGGATCGACTGGTATAATACTGTTTTAATAGAGAATGCAGCTCTCACATATTTCTGATAAGTGATGTATAACTTCTATCAGGACAAGATTTGGCCACTCCTGCTATATATCTACAATGATAGATTAAAATAATAATTAATAGAATATTAATAATCAAAGATAGTTTCTTACATAAACATCTTGAATAATTAAAGAAATTAATAATACTTGTAATAATGTAAAATGTTTTTCATAAAATTTGAATAGAACTAGGATAGAATAAATGATTTGCATGTCTCTTCAGGAGTCCAAGTTTCAAAGGTTCTGTAGATCAGTGGGCCAGTTGCTTGAATGATACTGAGGTCTGCGGTGAATAAGTTAGTCACCAAATCAAATGTATAGTAGAGTTGATAATGCTTAAATAAGATTAATCTAAGGAAAAGATGAGTGAATTATCTTCTTAAATATGAATTAAAATGTATTATGATAAGGTAGATCATCAGAATAATTTATACTTTCCCATATAGAGTGTTCCATAAATCTGGGTTCATAAGAGTTAATTTATGTTGATCTTTGCTTTTTCTTTTACAGGTAAAGAAAGAATGGTACTGAGTAAGGAAGAGTGAATTCAGGTTAAAGATACTATAAACCCATACCAAAATATACTCATTTGAATTATTATGCCATTTGTCTGGTGGTGGTAATGGGACAATTATGAAAAAAACTTTCAGTTAAAATGTGACTTTTGAATCAATTTTGGTTGTTAACTGCAGACAGTTTATATTTCTTATAATGAATTTCAACTTATTTTGATTGTAGAGATCCGCAGTCAGTGAGATGTCACTGAAGAGTTAAGAGATTGCATTCGTACTGCTGTTTGTGATTGGTGGGATGTTTGGAGGCATCCTATTAAACTCTTTGGCAGCTTCTCATTGACTGTAGGTCCCTACCATCAAACCAACTTAAATTTTTTTTTTCATACTTTGCTCATTGCTTTATCTGTGAAAGAATAAACATAGGTCAACGTAACTTCTATGGATCCAGACTTATCAGACACTGTATATTCATCAATTTTAGATTTTATGCAGGTATCAGTTGTACAACACAGCACTACTCTAAAATGGTTTGAAAATTGGAGAAGTCCTCCAAACAACACAGTTTCTGTTTTGATCCAACACAATTTGCAACTTTGGAAAATCCTCTGTACATAATTTCACAACTTTTAAGTGCAAAACTTCTTTATTCAATATTTTTTTTATTCAAATAGGCATGCATGTTCCAAATTTTCCCATGGATTTTAAATATTAAAATTTTCAATTTGTTTTGTGCCTTTCATCAGGTTTAATGAAAACTGATAATGCAATGTTTTTCTTCCTTGTTCCTCCTTTCCTATCAACTGGAAATCATCATCATTGCTTTTAGATTTTAGCCTTTAAGACTGTCATTATGTTTTATTTTTATAGATTAATCTTCATACTTAGTAAAGTTTATTTAAACAGTTTTAGGTAAGTGTAATTTTTTTAACCATAGGTAAGAAATCATTTGTAAAACTGACAACCAAAATACAGCAGTGTCTCTTTACTCAAACTGTTCCCGACTTGAACAACGCAGTATTTAATTACACAAATTCTGGAAAACAAATTGCTTAGTCCTTAATTGAAGAAACTTGACCCACTAGAAGAAATTTTTGATTAGTAACATATTTTTATTTTGTCATACATAAAAAATTTTTATGGTAAATATAAAAAAAATGACGACATTGCTGATGTTTCTGATAAGATCAACAATAAAAGCTCAGAAGATGATGATACTTTATAAAAAGAAAATGCTCTTGTTTAACTAAAATTTATATTAATGCATAATACAGTATTTTTAATTGTGATTGAAAATAAATTATTCATTACTTTAATAAACATATTTCTCTTAGTAGTGAAAAAGAACAATATACTTTTGTTAACTTCTGGAACATAACTCCATATTTTGTATTAGTCCTTACTTTCGTATAACACAGATTTGCACAACATGGCACTTTTTTGAAATATAACTGTCATGTTATACGAGGGAAACTCGTATATACAAAATATGAATATATAGTTAATAATTAGTGCATGTAATTATAGATAGTAAAATGTATCTGAAAATTTATAGCATTAGGAATGAAATATTTCTGTATTTCTTCTTGTTACAGAGAACAAACTTTCAGAATAGTTTTGCATTTAGTATGAAAAAGACTCCACAAATTTGAAAAAGAGAAAATATTTGCTTTAATGGAGTTTAAGAAACAAAACAGAACCTAGAAACTTTAGTTCTAGTTCATTTGGACTGATGTCCATCATCATATATTTCTAAAGGATTATACAATATCACAGTTGTAGTATTTCATAATCCTTCAGGCATTTCTAATGATAGGTTTATGCCAAAGTCTAAACACATTAGAACTTATATTTTTATGTTCTATTTTGTTTCATAAACTTCTGTATTAAATTGAATATGTTTTTTTGTATTTAATATTAAACAAAATTCTACTGTTTAATTTTGATTATGAAACTAATCTACAGCTGATCTGCATAAATAGCCATCGTTAACATAAGTTTTAATATCATTTCTCTTTATTGAAAACACTGAATTATCTGTCATGGTGGATCACTTTGAAATTGTCTACAAAACTCAAGCTGTGCAGTGTTGACTGATTCCAATTTTGCAAACTGCAGAACACAAACACTTTCTCTGTTGTGGAATTGCTAATTTTGTTAATGCCACTTAGATGGAGCAGACAAAAAGTCATTTGAATGCAGAAAATAGATGAAACTTGAATACTTATTCTATTGACTGATACATAATATTGTCTTCTTGGGTAATAATTAACATAATTATAGTAACTTAAAATGGTAGCATTCTCTTTGGAAAACCCTGTAATTTTCTAATATATGTATATTGTATACATGTTATGTGCTACTTTGTAAAGAACATAGAACTATCTTCCTTTGCATGTGTAGATTAATGAACATTGGGCCCATTCTTATTCTGGGAAAGACTATTATTTATTCTTGTATTATTAATTTTTATAGATTTTTTTCCTTGATTGAAATTAAATTATTTTTGCTTATTCAGAAACCATGTCTTCTTTCATCTGTTTTTACTGTCACAACTAGGTGTATAGACAGACACTGGGCATTTCTGACATCAATCTTTCTTTGGGAATATCTTGTTGGCTGAGATGCATTGTAACAGTAAAAACAAATTAAATTATTTTATAATGTTTGATGTTTTTGAAACAATTTTTTCAGAAACTAGCTTACAGAATCTAGTATCTGAATAGGTTGGATACAAGTCTATGATCAAATATAGGGCTTATGAGGACTATATTTGATAATGCCAACAGAGTTTCAAATGTTGAGTCCATAGTAAATAAATATTCAAGATTTAAGCATTTCCTCAATATATAGCTAGACATTATAAACATGACAAACTTAGAGTTGCTAGATTTAAGTCCTTACAAATAAACTTTACATTTGACCACCTAATATAAATAAATGTATGCAGTATATTAAATCAAGAATTGATATCTTTTAATGTTTTTGAATGTTGATATGAATATTTTGTTAAAGTTATAGTCTAGTTAAATAATTTGTACATTTTATATTAAGTTTTATATCTTTTTCAGGTTAAAGGTGTTCCGACAATTCCAGAAATACAAGAATGCCTAGTTACGATAGGAGATAAACCGCCATCTTTTATTAACTCCAAAGATTGGATTGGCAGCATCGAAGTTTCGATGTGCATAAATCAGTTGTATAATGTAAGTAAAAATTGTGTGATATTTATTTTTTGAATAATAATATTTGATTGTTTAATTTCTGATTATGTAAACATTTTATATATCTGAGTACACTTGTGAAAATTTCTGATCTGACCTAAACTCAAACCCAGTTCCCAAAAGTGAGAAACTAATGCCTTTAGCATCACATTTTAATTTTTTTCTCTTTATACTGTTTATTTTTCTCTTTATACTTGTTTTATTTCTGATGAGATTTTGTTATTAATTTTCTCAGCTTTTGTTATGATAATATCAATATACGGAAATAATTCATTTGGAATAAAATAGCCAAATAGCATGTCGGTAGGGGGTCGACATACTGCTGTAAAGATATTGATTCAAACCTTATCTGAATTCTAATAATTTATTGTGGAGAGTATGGATTAAGTGTCATTCTCCATACTTAACTCATGTTGGTTGATTCTAGTGGATCAAGCTATTGAAAATAAATGTAGTTGTCACTGGCCTATGTAGACTCAATGTCCTTACACTTCTACAGGTTGACAAATCAATTAGTTATTTGGAATAAAATAAATATGAAGTGATTAAAACTAAAACTAATATGTGATAAATTTTAATAATAACTAGCTAAATATATTTTCTGTTTTTATTTAAAACTAAAACATCTTTAAGATTTAAGCAGTTTAGATTTATCTGCCACACATTTTTGGATATCTCAGTTTTCATTGCAAGCCATTTAATTTCTGTTAGAACAGTGAAGTGTGCAGTTTAAACCTTATCTAAGAAACATGTTTGATCTGGTGATTGGTAGATAAGATTTTAAATGCATATTTTAGTGTTTTGATGATTACATTTGAAAAGGAAGCATTCCTGTGTGACATGAAAAATATTATAAGAGCAGATAAACCAATGATTTTTGGCACTTGATAATCTCATACAACTTTTAATTTAAGCAGAATTAAGAGAAGCACTTAAAATTTATAATAGGTCAGACTATTCACTAAATAACCACAGGTAGGGTTAAACTAACACATAGAATACTCCCAACCAAGACTAGGAGATTTACCTACATAGGAATCTTATCTCACTGCTCATTGTAATATTATTTCCTCTCCATGTAAGTGTATAATGTCTCTATGTCTAAATCATATCTGTATACTGTCTATAAAGAGATTAAGTCTTTGCCTCAAAAGTTTATAAAAATGTCCTGCCACAAATGGTATTGTATAGTGTGTATGTGTGTTAGCTTGAATCAATACCTCTATTCTGTGTATTCTATTCTATTTTTAGCTCAATTTTACCTATATTTATTCCAACACATGACTTATAAAAAGGTTGCAATTGTCAGTTCCACATTTAATACTTTTGCATAATTTAAGTTTCTAGCAATTAATTTATATGCTTCTATGTCCTTATTTTCTATTTGTTATATATTTTGTATATGAGGACTTGGCCTATTAATAGGATGTATTATACTGGTTGTTACAACAAACAATCTTTATTGATCACCTTGTATTATACCTGTATAATACAAGGTGATCAATAAAGATTGTTTGTTTCCCTGAATAAGATTTTTTCCTCGATTTCTAAAGCCAAAACACCAATGTAATACATGCTATTAATAGGCCAAGTCCTCATAGACAAAATATATAACAAATAGGTTTCTAGCAGTTCATAGTATTTTAGAGAAGTGGAGGCATATAATTATTGGTCTGGATGTATTGTTGAGTTATTATTACATGAACTCGGTCTAACAAAGCATTGGAATCACATATTCTGAAAAATAAGTGGCCAATCTGTTTAAGTGTTATCATGGACAACTTGACAAATGATGTGACAAGGGGACTGTCTTGAGTGGCAAAGTGAGTAGTCAAAAATGTTCAAAAGGAGAAAAAAATGAATAAAAATAAAATAATAAGTCAAATACAACAAAGTTCCATTAACGTTGTTTATAAATAGTTCGTAAAGGAATGCCAAAGCTAGAAGTGCTCTATTGGCAACCATTCTGGAAACAGGGGAAGCAAAACTCAGTTATACCTCAGGTGCAAGTTACCATTGAGCCAGGACAATGTTACACACCAGACCATATTATTAATTCATTGCAATTTATAGAAATTTTCTTTAAATTTATTTATTTTGAATTATTTTAAATTTTTATATTTTCTTAAATTTAAAAGTTTCAGTATAAACAATTGTTTTATTTGTTTGCATAGAACAATTTTTAAAATAGAAAACATTGAATTTTGTATTAAGAATTGGCTGAAGTAGAGAAATGTTACTATTTGAAATAAAAGTTTAATTTTTTGTTGTATGAATTTTTATTAATTACAGTTTCTTACATTTTAGGTGTGCTCAAAAATAATACATGTACCAAGTGGCAGTGAATTATTTAATCATGTTCAAACCATTGAGTCGCACTTTGAAAATTTTGGTTCGCCTATAATGATGGGTAAGACCATTAAGCTAGATTTGCACCGTCATACGAACGAATGAGACAAATACCAATCAAAGTAAACCGTTGTTTGCATCACAATATGTGACACAAACTGAATTAGAACATGATTGGTTGAAAGATTTCAAATGCTACTAATGAAATGTTGATTGGTGGAACAAACCTGAGTTTGGCTAAAGTTTAGATATTTTCAACTCCTAATGAATTAGTCAAACAGTTGCCAAAAGGGGATAAACTGGTAGTTTGTATCAAACCTATTAGAGGCGAGAAGTTTACGACTATAAACTATGTAGCGGTTTGTATGGCAATGTGAACCTAGCTGTTTTTTATGTTATTTACGTCAATGGATTTAGGCAGGTCCTTAATGGGGTGGCCAACTGATGAGGGAAAAAGCCTGACATAGTAAGATCATACAAATGAAACTTTCACAGGCTGTAGCCCAGGTTAAACTTGATTGGCAAGTTAACATTTTGGTCATTTATTCATCTATGATATAAAATTTATTCTACATTATTATTATTTTTATAATTTAAAATTTTTAGATTCCAAAATTAATGTAAGAATTGAAATTCCAAGATTTACATCCATGATTATCATCATAATCATTGTTAATATTTTTAAAATGTTGAATTTCCAATAATTATATCACCAAATTTATCAGATGGATAAAATTGGAAGATAAAGAAAGAAGGACAACCTGTTCAGAAAGCCATCACTGGTTATATTCAGTTGGTGGTCAAACTAGCCTGTGAGCTATACAATAAATACAGTTCTAACACACTTACTGCTGCTCCCATATATCAGATCTCTATCTCTAATATAGTAGAAGTATAATACAGTATATAGGTTATATATAAAATACTATTCTAATACAAGATGTGGCTCTCACTTATTTCTGATAAGTAGTATATATGGCTCCTGCCACAACGAAGTTTGGCCACCCCTGCCACATACCATAAGTTTTGCCCATTGTATACATACCATACACTTGCTAATCCAAGCAACCACACAAATAGCAGGAGTACACACTATACCTTATTTTTAATATCTAAATTTTGATTGAATTGCAGTTTATTTGAAATTTCAAAATAATGTAAAAATATGTGAATTAGGTGGTGATCAAGATGCGTCTTCTAAAGGGATTTTGGGAATTTGTGTGGCATCTACAACTTACCTTCTTGTTTTGGTAACTAACTTTTAGTTAGTTTTCATTATTTGCAACTGAAAAATATATTATTGAAACTTGATTTTGATTGTAGGATCCACATTTTGTCGGGAAGTCTTCTAGTAGAGAAGAGTTACAAGAACGAGGATGGATAAAATGGAAGAAATTAGATGAATTTTTGGACTTTTCATTCTATAACATGTGCCTTCCTCAACAGAAAGCTTTGGGAGAAAGTTGATGTATGTAATATGCATTTTTATAGACCTGTTTAACTCCTAAACAATGGGCATTTTTCTATTTCCATCAATAGTCAATCAAACTTTCATAAGAACTCGAATTTTTAGCTTGTCAGAGACATAAACAAAATTGTACCTGTAGTAATTCGCAGATATGGAAGGGTTTACTATTATTTATGAGAAAGATCTGCTTGGGAATATTTATTGGTGTCACTTAGGGGAGTGCTATGTCCATGTCTGCCTGTATTTACAAAGTTTAATAAAATCAGCCTGGTTAATATACAGGAGTAATTATTATTTTAATAATTGTATGCATTTTTAAAATTTCTATGTATAGTATTCATACTCATTATCTTTATCTATCTTAGCGTCATAAGTAACTTGTAGCATAAATGTGTAAATGAGACAAGTAGTTTTCATCTAAGCAAAACACATTTCACTAATTGAAAAATAATCTTTACTACTGAATTGGCCACAGTAAGGAGAACTAATGCCCTTATGAAGCATTAGTTCTCCTTAACATTATGGTTGAGTGGTTCCTTCGTGTTGTATATAGGAAATGCATGTAATGGACAAAATTATGGTCAAGAGATGCAAAGGACTGATCCAAATTGTCTATTGTAAATCGGATTATGCAGATTCAATTTTGATTTACCAAAGTTAATACTGTATTGGTAAGAGGATCTTCTCATTTTATCCAGTATGATGTATACGACCTAGCCCATAGCCTTTACCTCATGTCTACAAGTCGCTTCCTTCCACACTAATTTGGGTACGAATCGTTCAATAAATTTTTATTTCTGAAAACGTAGTGTTCACACTGTAGGCCTACATATATACAGACACATAAACACTGCATATACATAAGGGTCCTCAAACATTTCTTGATTTTTGAAGGGGTCCATAGTTGTAAGTTTGGGAACCGCTGGATATTCCCGACGACATTCCTTCTAACTAAAAACAGTGGATTCGACAAGGAAATCGTTCCTTTATCCTTGCCCGTTTTCGGTTCGAATTCATTATTATTATTATTAACAAAAAACAAAATAATAAGTAGGACGGTCGGACGAATTAATCCGACGATCCATTTATTCTATTTCTGCTCAAACTGTAAAAATACATTTTTCGGAACGACAAAACCGAGACGGAGGCCGACGCGTAAACGATACATCGAACGCGAAAACAAACAGTCCTTTTCACAATACTGTACACGTCTTTTGAATACGTCACTATCGGGAATATTTTATGTGATTCCTCCATGGGCGAGGAAAGACCGGGCGGGAGCTCCATTCCGCCTATTTTATATAAATACTGTACATAATTATTTACAGGCAACGCCTTCGGGCGCTTCTTCGGACGGAGGGCGAAAGAACAACATGCGCGGAAAAGGCGGAAACGCGACTATTCCGCCACTGCTTTGCACTCCTCTCTCTTTCCGGCCCCGTTGGCCGGAATGGCGGTTTTGGGCGGGAGGAAACCCTTCCACAGCTTGTGCACCTCCTCCGGAAGATGGTCCTGCCAGCTCTTCAGGTAGTACCTGGTGTACTTTTTCAGCTGGCGGAACTTACAGAAGGTAGCCTCGCCGTCTGACACCTGCTTGGTCTTGACCAGAAACCCGTTTTGACGGAAAGTGTCTTCCAGCTTCTTCCGGATGATGGTCCTTTGATTGGATCTGGCTTTGGGTCGGGGCGTTCCGCGTCGATCATCCGCATCCCCGGGTGCCCGAACCCCCGTCTCCCATCCCTGCGACGAAGGGAGAGTGGATCGGGTCTTGGTCCCTCCCGTCGGAGTCTCGGGAGGCGTCACCGACACCCTTCGACTCGAGTCCGGGACGGTGACGGGGACGGGTCGGATGCAGATGCGCACCGGGCACGGATAAACGGGAATTTGGGCAATGCCCATCGAAACGGAGCTTCCCATGGGTTCTGCGGAGTCCGAAAGCCGTTGGCTGTCTTCCGACGCGGTAGCGGGCGGCGGGACCCCGTCCGGTAAATCGGAAGGCGCGGGACCTTCGGTGTCTTCGGAGGAGGGCGAAAGAGAGCGACGCGACAGGTCCAGCGGTGCGGCCTGGTCGTCCTCTAACATGGACAGGTATTGGTGATAGGGAACCACCTTGCGCGTTCGCAGGGGCTTGCGCCGTTTTCTGCGACTGCCGCGGGGGGCGGTGCACCCGCCTGGCGACTTGTGGGCACGCGAGGAACTCTTGGGGGAAGGACAGGGTCGGCGAAGACGAAGTTCGGTCGGATGAATCGATCTGGGCGCGGAGCCCAGCCTGTCCACGATTGCGTTCAGTTCGGTTCCCTTGGAGGAAAAGGAGGGGCCGGGGCCCCTGTCCAGCCGAACGGCGCGAAGTGCCTCCACGGCAGGAGAAACTGAGGGATCTTCGGGATGGCGAGGGTCGGAGGCGTTTCCTTCGGAAACCGACCAATTGGAGACCATGATTTGTTTGGTTCCGTGTTCTTCCCTCAGACGACATTCGGCGTGCACCTTCCAGATTTCTCCCTCTCCGGAGAGGGACTTGTCTTCCTTCTCCGAAGTGATGCTCTCGGAGGGCAGGAAGTTGTGGAACTTGAGTCCTCTCTTGGGGTTCTTCCTTCCTCGTCCCTGCGACTCCCTGACCACGCACTGCTGCTTCCTGAGGAAGGAGGGCTTTCCTCCGTAGCTTCTACCTTGCAATGGAGAAAAGACACTGTACAGGTTTCCGTCGGCGATGTGGAAAAATTTTTGTGAATATCCGAAATCGATTCCGTTCTCTAAATCTCTGAAACAATGATTTGCTATCAGAATATCGCTCCGGGCAAACCCCTATCGTCACGCGCTTTCTCGCCTTCCCAACCTTCTCCTATCGGCGTTCGTCGGCGCGATAAAATTAGGACCTCTCTCTCGCTGGGTGCTCGATCGAATTGTTTCCATTCCCCTTTGAAATTTCCTTCTGGAAAAATCGGGTGTTTTATCTGTGTAATTTCCCTTCTATTCCTTATAAATTCTGATAGAATATAAGTTACGAATTAACGCATTATATATATAAGTAAATTTATATGAATTGTTGATTAAAGACCCGATACAACGTAATTCGGAAAGTACGAAGTAAATTCGCTTTATCCGAGCATCAAATTCACTGAGAATCAATCAGATTAGCGTGCAGAATGTCCATTAGGCGGCGTGGCTGCTGTATTTATGTTCACTCGCTGGTAGTGTTTGTTTTTCTCGTATTTAACACAATACAAACCGGCCGCTCCATTGTGGACCTGGAATGGGCCGAATCCATAATGGGCTTGTGAAAAAGGCCCTTTTAGTGCTCACGGGGCAGAAAGAATTAAAACACACAATACAAGCTGGTTTTTAAATAATCTTCATTTGTGACGCATCGCTTACTCCATAATTTCGTTATATGGAGGATCTGTAATGCATACATTAACCTAATCAATTGGTTTCGATTCCGTTTATAACGAACTTTTTTTTTTAAGTAGAAGATTTCCTTTCAGCCTGTCAATTCCTATGACTTGTGTTGGAGAAAGAACACTTGATGAGTAATGAATGCGAAGCGCGTAACGTTATTGCTTAACGTAGACAATCTAAAAATAAATATCCACGGTGTTTTGTTAAGAGATTGTTCCGATAAACTTTTAAAATAATTAAGACCATTAAAAAAAAAGAATACTTTGAGCGATTATTCTTGGAAAGAATACAACTGCTGTACAAAGAAATTAGAGACGTGGAATCATTATCGATTTGATTAGAAGCGAACATCAGAGACAAAAAAGGTGTGACGATTTGTTTATATTTGTTCCTAATTATTAAACATGCACATATACGCGAATTATTGAGTATAATTTCGAAATAACCTGTAAAAATACTTGAAACAGAAGTAAACACAAAGCTTAGTCTTCGTCTTTGTCCTTTTTTATACCACAAACACAATTGTATAGGGATGCCTACTATTTGGAACTTCAATTATTTTTTAAAAATTGTTCGGAAATCTGAAGAATGGGTGTTTGTGTATAGGTGTGTTTGTGTTTTCTTTTCAGCTCGATTTTTCTCTATAAGTTGACATTCCTAGTTGTAATCTGAATTATCTTCATTCCTGCTACTTTGTTTTTGATTATTTTTCTCTTTAACGTGAGCACTAAGAATGCCTTTTTTCAACTTTATAGTATATTCGGCCCCACCCACAATGGAGGAGGTAGAGTAGTGAGCGACGAAGCCTCGCATATCCAAAACGGGAACACCCTATGAAAACTTCCTGGAATTGTTCGCCCGGCCTTCAGAGAGGTAGGCTGATGCTTTAACTATCATCATCATCATCATCATCATCATGTTCGGAAGAAAAGAACGTTTTAAGCTGCTTTCTGGTTTTGTTTCGCTTATTAGTTTATCAAATTGGTGTTTTTTCACACCGTGTTCGGAATTTGTGCTCTGAAAGTTGGCATTCCTACAGTTATAGCTACGTCAGAGGAACGTTTTGGCAACTTTACCTATTTAGGGGAAGGCCCTATATAAGAAAATCAACTCTGCTGCGTGGCGTTGTGTTCCCGTAGCATGTGTGTTTTTGTATTCCTACGGCGTGACAATGGACTAAAAGTTGTTTTCTTCCATTTTAAATATGTGTAATAAATTTTGTTCCCGTTTCTGTTGTTATATAAAACGTTCCAAGTGAATTGGAACAATTGGTACGTCTTCGTGAATAACGCGACGTCACATCACACTGTTTTAATTTAAGCAAAAGTTTTGCAATACAATTTAAAATTAGAAGTCAGTCTTTCCATGCAACTTCAATTTTTTTTTACGATGATAATGCGAAGTTACGCACTTTATTTTTGAATAGTGCGTAACTCGGAGATATGGACAAATGCACGTTTTGGCATGAATATTAATATTATATGAGGAGGAAGTGAGTCATTCACTGGAAACATTCGTTCCACGAAAGATATTTCGAGCTTTTGCCCTTCGCTTTACGCAAAAATACGAAAAAAAAATCCAGTTACATTTTACGCCGTCAACAGTTTTCCTCCGTTGGCCTTTTGGCGCTCTTTAAGCCTATTAGGACCTCGTACTAGAATTTGCAATATCAACGGACTAATCGGAGTGATGCTATCGAAAAGTTAAAACTAACGAGGTCGGCATACGTTTCGAAATGACAGAAGTCACGTGTCGGATGGAAGACAATTCTCAGCTATTAATATCAACGACCGTCTGCATTCTACGATAGGGAAAGACGTCTTTAAGGGGTTTTCTTCTCGCTTCGTCTCGAATATTAAAAGGGCCTTCTTCAAAAAATATCCTTTATCTAAGGGAATGCATTTTTAAAGAACGCACCGGAATCAAAATTGGCGCTAATTAACACAGGTTATGGGTAGAAATGCCCGGAATCACGGAGAGGTATTTTTTAACATGCAGTATATTCATTGAGATTCGCATCGTAAAATGACGTTACATCCGTTTGGTTAGGATAGCGTACGGTTCTAAGTCAACGGATGTAACGTCATACCTGTAGTTTGTTTAATCGGAAGTGTAAGAAATTACGTCAAATTGATGTAATAATAGTCTACTTCCGACACGTGTTTTGTAACGTGGCAGGTCGGACGTTAACGCAAATTTGTGTACATCGTGTGTGGCGATAACAGTTAAGGAAAGCGGGTTACCCGTTTCCGTTGCAGGTTAAATATGTTCACCACATCTTTAAATTGTAAAAAAAAAAACAAGCGTAGCGATTTATCAAACAATGGTACAGAAATTTGAAGAATTACTCGCTTTTCTTAAACGGAGTAATTTTGAACAGTAGCATAAAATAAATTGTTAAGGTCGAACACTCCTTAGCTTTTATAACGGTTTAAAAAACTAGAAATAATACAATAAATTAAAATAATATAACTTATTCTAATGGCGACCATATTAAATTCTCTCAACGAAATTTCCCGGTAGGTGATGTTAAAAGCCAAACATGGCGGCAATTCCAAGTGTCGTCTGGACGCAAAGTAAGTAAAAAGGCGGAAAATATAATTGCTTATTTAAATTTACACCGGATTTAACTGGAAACGGCGTTGTTCGACTAGTTCCATAAAAAAAAGAAGTTTCAGCGAATTTCCAAGTGGCCTTATACAGAAGAGAGAAGTGAATGGAAGCCACCAACAGACGAGGTACCATTTAAATACGTAATTAATTAAATATTGTGTCGGAAGCAAGCAATTACAGATTGGAGAAACTCCAGTTTATATATTAATAATTAAATATTATTATACGTCTATCAATTAAACAATAAACACTTAAACAGCAGTTCTAGCCACAATACCGTATGACACAACAAGTGAACATACAATTAAACATTAATGAAGAAATCGCAGTGAAAATGTTGCTATGTGGCTACAATATGCCCTACTATCGGGCGATAGTTGAGTTGTGTAAACCTAGTATACAGTATTTACACTACAGTGTATTATCACAGCACAATTGAGTATAGCTACTTGCATTAGCATGGTTTTAATTTGCTAAAACTAAAAAATTATACCTAAAAAATCTAAGACTGAGGAATGAGACTGAAATACAACGTTACTTGGCATTTATTAATTTTAATTTATACAGGGTATCCCAAAAGTCTCCATACAGTGACACAAATCAAGTCCACCAGTGGCTGAAAAAATAAAACCATTTAACACTGGTTCGTGCCTGACCAAAGGGCTGGCCACCGTGCAGTGTTCTAGCGTTTCTTCGGGGGTCTAACACCTAAACAATCCAGTTTCTACATAGGAAGTCCTGCTAGAAATTATTCCATTGGTACATCACCCGTGTGTTCCGTTGCCTTACTCCATCAATCCACTGATATAAATCTTAATGCTGACATTTTAATGTTTTGTGAATAAAGTTACATTTCACCTTTGTATGGAAACTTGGGACACCCTGTATTTAAACTGTAAAAAAACATTTGTTATAACCATCATAAAATTGAAGACTTTGGGCCAAGAAAGTGGTAACTTAATTTCTTTAGTAAATTTCTACACATTGGGCAGGTGTGGTCTTCAGACTCGTAACTCGTAATTTCCCGTAGACTTGTCCTAAATACGGGGCGAATTCAGAACTTCGGGATGATTTTCCCCCACAGATTTGAAAAAAAGTTATGTTCTTGCCCGAGATTTTCGTTTATTGAATTAATAGCGAGGTTGCGGCCGAATTTTTCATCTGTAAAACGTGAATGTTGAACGTTGAGCGCCGCTCGACGTTCGACGTTCGACGTTCAACATTCACGTTTTACAGATGAAAACTTCGGCCGCAACCTCGCTACTAATGCTACAACTTTCAACCTTAAAAATAGACCATCTTCGGGCCACAACTTGAAGATCTGTTTTAAAATGTGTAAAATTTTTACAAAACTTAATTTCTGTGAATCGAATTCCTGTATTGTTTAAATTTATTTAAGTGGAGGATACACTCGACCTAATAATATATTGAAAAATGAATATATAGTAGGTGATCGGTTAACGAACATAATCCGTTCCAAGACTCTGTTCGCTATCCGAATTGTTTGTTAACCGATTATCGATTTACCATAGGTTTCAATGGGAATTTAATTAATTCGTTTATTTTAAACCCCCAAAAATTTAATTTAAACCCCCAAAAACAAAATATATATATTCTTACTACGTTTATTTATATGNGTTAAGGAAAGCGGGTTACCCGTTTCCGTTGCAGGTTAAATATGTTCACCACATCTTTAAATTGTAAAAAAAAAAACAAGCGTAGCGATTTATCAAACAATGGTACAGAAAT